GGAGGGTCGTCTTTCATTTATTTCCCTGCTCTTGTCCCAGTGGCGTGGTGCCGTGGTGGCGTGGCGCCTTGGTGCCGTGGTGGCGGCGCGCCGTGGTGCCGCCCCGCTGGACCCGTCGGGTGCGCGCGGCCCCCGGCACGGAAAGAACGCGCAGAATGGAGGGTTGGCGCTGGTTGTCACGCAGCGCAGCTGGCGGGACCGGCTGCTGGGAGAATCAATTAAAAATGAGCAAAAGAATGAAAGTTTTAGGGCCAGCTTGGACGTGACGGTACTTTCCGCGCACCGAAAAGTCCATACGATACATGGAAATGGAATATATTAAAAAGTAAGGCGATCGCGCTATGGTAATTTGTGGCCACCCCCTCGGTCTAGCTTCGCGCTGCTTCAGGTCGTCCAAACGGCCCTCGAGTGGAGGTGCATCCGAGAACGGCGAAACGGCGCGAGAATGGGGGAGATTGTTTTGAAAGTTGGAGAAAGTTGTGGACCGCTTCTTGTTGGCAGTGTAGTCTGGGATGCGGCGCTAGGCAGCAGACGGGCCTAGGGTGGCGCCGCTGTGGGGGCGGTGCAGGGCGGTGCAGGGCGGCGGCGACTCCAGCCTGCCCTTCGTCCTTCGTCCCCCGTCCTTCGTCCTTTATCCTTCGTCCTTCGTCTCGTCCTTCATCCTCCATCCTTCGTTCTTCCTTCATCCTTCGTCCTTCATCTCTTCCTCCCTTCCTCCGCACGGCCCATCCCCCAGTGCACGCCGTGCACGCGCATTCCTAAGGGCTCCTCGCCTCGCGGACCCGAGCGGACCCTGCTACGCCACGGCTACGCCGCTACGCCCTTAGCCCCCAGATGATGACGTCATCATCGCAGTTTGAGCCGCGCTGGCATGTCTGCAGGGGCTGCTAGGGCTGGGCAGGGCAGGGTGGATCGCTCCGCACCCGGTCGCCTGTCCCACCCCGCCCCATCCACCTGTCCGCTGCACTGCGCAATGCGATTGCGTATCCTTACGGTTATCTGCCTCGGGCTGTTCGTCTCTCGGGCCCCTCCTCTCCCCTCGGCCCTCCTGCTGGAGATTGAAAGAAGGCAGTGACGTGCTGGAAATGTAGAGGGTCGGAAGGAGAGGGAAAGCGCGCGCGCGCGTGTGTGTGTGTGTCTGTGTGAGTGTGAGAGTGAAAGAGTGAGTGAGTGAGTGGGTGTGAGTGTGTCTCTCTCCCTCTCCGGCGTCTGAGGACCGCGCGACGCAGCAGGAGTCTGCGGGGGTCTGCGTGCTCTGCGTGCTCTGCGTGCTCTGCGGTACGGACGGCGGACGAGGCGGGGGAAAGCAGGAAAACAGGAAAATGACGCGGAGAGAGGGAGACGGAAGCTAGCTGAGGTCGGAAAGGGAGGCCGCTGGAAGCCAGCTGCAAGCTGGTGGAAGACTGGAGGGCTGGAAGACTGGAGGGCTGCAGTTTGGAAGGGGGGTCGACGCCGGCGACGACGCGACGTACCCCCGCGACCTTTGCGATGCCGGCAGCTCCGTCCCGTCGTCGTCGCGGCCCTCCAGACCTAATCAATGTGGAGGGGTGAAGCGAACGTGAATCCCAGGGACACTGCGGCCGCGTCGGAGAAGTTGGACGAGGTGGACGAGGTGGACTCCAGGGGAGGCTTCTGCAATCAGGCGAGAGGCAGCAGGGGGCTGTCAGACGGCAGAACGCACTACACCGGTATGAAAACTTTCCATTTTCTTTTATTTTATTTGGAACAAGTGTACAAAGTGTTGCGAATCAGGATAGCTAACCGGCTTGGCACTCTGATGAGTGATTTCCGGCTGCACGTCAGCTTGCTGGCGCACGCTGGCGTGGTGGGGAAGCCGGCAGCTCGCCGTCAAGGCGGAAGCCACGTGAGTGGGTGCGTCCGTGTGACTGTGTGAGTGTGTGTGTGTGAGACCATACCGCGGATTGACATGAAGTGTGAGCCGGGTACATGTCAACCAACAGGTTGGTCTCGGTACTCGCGCGGCGTGGCGCGGCGTGGCGCGGCGTGGCGCGGCGTGGCTCTACCCCGGGTCGGCAGCAACCCTCTGGCCGCGCCACGCCGCTCACTCGCACGGCGCGATACTCCTTGCCAATGACCTCTTCATTGATCCAATCTACCCTTCTCCGTCCCCCTCCGTTTCTGGCCGTCAGTCTCTCTCTTCCCCTCTCCCTTCCCTCTTCCTTTTCATTTCCTTTCTCGCTCAGACAGCACTGCAACGGCCGGCGGGGCGGCGGGGCTCGAGGGGCGGCCGGGAAGGGGAGTGCATACCACACGGCACGTTTCGGTGCACCGCAAAAACGAGGAGCACCACGACGTCGCGACGTCCTTCACGAAGAAGCAATTTTCTAATTCCCCGGGGAGAGGCGCGCGGCTAACTACGGAGTCTGTTTTACGACGTTGTTTTTATGTTTGTTTCCTTCCCTTGCCGGGTGGTGTAGGCCGTGGTGCAGGCCGTTGTGTAACTTGGCGTCGAGGGCGCCGGAGGGCGCGCATTGCATAACGAAGCAGTGTTGTGCGCGCCCTACGCCCTGTGCCCTGCGCCCTGTGCCCTGCGCCCTGCGCCCTGTGCCCTGTGCCCTGCGCCCTACGCCCTGTGCCCTGTGCCCTGCGCCCTGCGCCCTGCGCCCTGCGCCCTGCGCCCTGCGCCCTGTGCCCTGCGCCCTGCGCCCTGTGCCCTGTGCCCTGCGCCCTGTGCCCTGCGCCCTGTGCCCTGCGCCCTGCGCCCTGCGCCCTGCGCCCTGCGCCCTGTGCCCTGTGCCCTGCGCCCTACGCCCTGTGCCCTGCGCCCTGTGCCCTGCGCCCTGCGCCCTGTGCCCTGCGCCCTGTGCCCTGCGCCCTGTGCCCTGCGCCCTGCGCCCTGAACCCTCCCACCTGCCCCGAGCCAGGCGAGAAAAAGAAGGACGAAGTCGTTAAGCAGTGAGGCGCTCCCTGACCACACTGCTCTAACAAATCGATGAGTAAACAGCGGGGTGAAACCAGCAGTGACCGAACTCTCTATATAATGCAGGGTGCTTAAAATTTCCAGTGTTGTGATCGACTACGGGTTAGAACTACTAACTCCGGGCAAGAGCATTTTCTTATGAAAAATAAATACATGGCGGCGGGATTCGAGCTCCAGTTCTCGGTGTTGGTGGCCGTACCCTTTTCAAACTCGAGCAGACGAGCCCGTATGCCGCGTGAAGTGAAAAAGTGCTTTTGACGCCGAGTTTTTTCTGCCCCCTGATTGGCGCGGCTGCCTGCGGCTGGCCGTGCCGATTGGCTCAAGGGTCGGAGGGCCGGAAGCGCCGGAAGTGCCCACGCCCAGCAGGCCCTCCAGGGCCTCCAGGGCCGCACCTGGGTCTGGAGCGGCATAGCTAGAGGCACAAGGCTGACCGACCGATGCCCAGTCGGCCCAGCCCAAAGCGCAGCCCGGAAAGTGATTCCAAGTGGACAGTTTGGGGTCAGCGCTGCCTGGCAGTATCCGCAAAGAACTCTGCAGAATCAAATCTTGCACTGACTATAGAATATTATAAATGCACTCTAAATGTCTTACGAAGAAATTTCCCATAATACGAAGGAAATGGCGCAAGCATAATACGAAGGTGGTTTTTCTTCGTATTACGAAGGTTTTTCTTTGTATCTTACAATGAAAAAGCTAAAAAGATTCGTATTACGAAGGAATATTGCTTCGTATTATGCTTGCGCCGAATTCACTGTAACATACGAATAACATAGGGCAAATTTCATTGTAAGACATTTAGAGTGTGATTGTGTTGGTTCTTAGGGACTTTTGGAGATTATTTTAGCGCCGGCCTCGGAAAGCTTTCAAAGTGTCGAAAATCAAATATTGCTGTATTGCTGACTTTGGGCTGACACTGCCACCAATCCACCTGCGGTCAAAGGCCTCCCTCAACGCTTTTGTATTCTTAAGACCCCACCCTTTCATATCCCGGCGCGGGAGGGCTTTGACCGCAGCTAGTTTGGGAGCAGTAGCTTCACAAAGTTGGTCAAAAAGTGAGTGAATCTCCGAAAAAGGCCGTTTTTGCTGACTTTGGGCGGCCCTTGTGTCCAATCCAGCTGCGGTCAAAGGCCTCCCTCATCGCTCTAGTATTCTTAAGACCCCACTCTTTCATATCCCGGTGCGGGAAGGCTTTGACCGCAGCTAGTTTGGGAGCAGTAGCTTCACAAAGTTGGTCAAAAAGTGAGTGAATCTCCGAAAGTGGCCGTTTTTGCTGACTTTGGGCGGCCCTTGTGTCCAATCCAGCTGCGGTCAAACGCATCCTCAACGCTCTAGTATTCTGAAGACCGCACTCTTTGATGCCCCGCTTCGGGAAGGCTTTGACCGCAGCTAGTTTTCACCGCAAGACTGCTGCCAAACAAGGCGGGAAATCGCACTCCGTAACAAAGACGTGCTAAAGGGTACCAAAGTCGCGAGTGATTACCCCTCCCCGTGGTGGATTGGCTACTGCCACCTCGCGGCGCGACGGACGCCACACCGCGGTCGCCACCTCGCTGGCGGAGGGCGGAGGGTCGATGCTTCGATTACCCGCCCTTCCCGGCCACGCAATGCCACGTAATGCTCAGCAGCCCCATTAAAGAACAGGACACGTCGCGTGGCTGGAAAAAACAATTTTAACCTCGGGGACTGGAACCGGGATCGCGATACGGCTGATGGAGGCGACTATCTCTGAAATTGACGTCGGTGGTTACTGGCGCGCGCCGCCTGTGATTCGCGAAGCTCAGACCTGACCTAACCTTGTTCTTGTTGTTCCAGGGATGCGGCTGGCGGGGCGGGCTGCCCGCGGGGCTGCCCCGTGCTGACGGCACGCCGCGGCACGCCGCTCGTCGAGGGCCGCGCAGTGGCGGCCGTGGCGGGGGCGGGCGGGGCGCGGCGGCGCGGGGCTGGCGGCTGACGATGCGGCATCGCGGTCGTGCCCAGGATGGAGCAGCCCGGCGTGCCCGGCGGCCTCTCACCGCTGCAGCTGCCACGCCGCACGGCGCGCGCACCCACGCCCCGACTCGGGCCGGCGCCCATCGCCTCCTTCGAAGACCTGAGCTCGGAGTCGCTCGAGTCGCCAGCTAGCCCCCCCACCGACCAGCTACCCGGTGAGTTGGTGACGCCGCCTGGCCCGCTGGTTTGGAGTGGAGCCCTCGGGGCTTTGCCCTGTGGCTTTTCGCCCACTGGCCCTGCCAGGCCCTGCCCATGTGTCTCTGCTTTCGATCTCCAATAAACTTGCAAGGTCCTGCTTCGTCCTTGGTCCTTCTCTCTGTGTCTGTTCTCTCTGTCCCACTCCCTCCCCGTCTCGCTTCTGCGTCGCCTCGGCCTCCGCGCAGCTTCCCCTCGCCACTCCGTGCACTCCGTGCACTCCGTGGACGGCATGGCTAATCATCCCCATCCGAAAATAAAAGCTGATGAAACGAAAACAAGGGCCTTACTTGAAATAGTTAGAAACGTAACAAGAACGTTAGACTTGACATAAATTGTGCTTAGATAGAATAGTTTCGTTGAAAGAGAAAGTGTAACGGAAGCGTAGAAAGCATAGGAGTCGTGACTAAATTCTAGCGAGCGACAACACACAAAACTAAAAGGGGGAACAAACGTCCACTTTCGAGCTTGGCGACGCTGCATGGCGTTGAACTCGGATCTCTGCGACGCAGAGCGGCATCTCTTCCAACTCACCTACCGAAGCAATGTACGGTGCGGACATCGCCACTGTTCTCGTCGTTGATAAATTCCAGAGCGACGTGACAGGCTGCTCGTGAGCCCCAAGCCGATTTCTCTCGCTCTCTCTCTCTCTCTCTCACCGCACTCAGAGGGGAGCACGCTTTCGCACGATTGGGCGCCACTCCCGTCAAAGCTTCTCTCTCGCTCCGCGCGAAGCCGGCGAAGCCGTTTCGCCGCGAAGCGCGAAGCGCGCGAAACCCTCAGCAAGGAAACCACGCCAAACCCGCATTCGTCCTTCTCCACTCTCCCCGTCTACACTGTCTCTCTATCTGCCTGTCTGTCTGTCTGTCTGCCTGTCTGTCCGTGGCACAGGAACAAAGGGAATGACGCCTGTATGTTGTGCATGTGTAGACTGGCGCGGCCCCACCAGCCCCGGCCTCGGCCTCCTCGGCCTCCCCACCAGCCCCGGCCTCTGTCCCGGCCTCGGCCTCGGCCTGCGCTGACTGTCGCGTTGCAGGAGAAGAAGGCCGGGCCAGCAGGGCCAGAATGGCGGCCCCGGCCACCACCACGACCGTCGTCATCCCCGCCACCCCTTCCTCGTCGACACACCGCTCCGAGCTTCAGGTACTGAGGCACTGCCAAGGCACTGCCAAGGCCGGCACGGCAGGGCGCCAGGCTTGCCCATCGAGCTTGCCGACGGTCCCGCCGCCCGCCGGCACACGCATGCGACAGCCGCCAGCACTCTCACTCATTTCGAAAAGGAAACGAATAACCTCAACAAAGTCCGAAGACACGTCTCGCTGCGAGCGTCTTGTTCGATGTTCCAATGTGGCTGCCCGGCTGGTGGGGGCACTGCCGGGCAACGCCCGGGCCACACGCCTCCCCAGGCCGGCTATCGGAATTCCAGCCACTCATTTCCCCCTTTGTCCTCATCGGTCCCAGCGAGGACCGGCCCGGGATCGGGCACTTCTTGGCGTGCATCGTGTGTCTGCTCGGCTCTCGGGCCCGCACGCCCCGCACGCCCCGCACGCCCCGCATGAACAGTGTAGATGACGTAGACCTGCGGTGCCGCGGCGGTGCCGGTCCTCACGCGCGCTGCTGTTGCAGGCGGACAGCTTTGGCGGCGAGGGCGCCTCGTCCTCGGCCTCGGCCTCCACGGCCACGCTGGGCATCAGCCCCGGCACCCCTCGCATCGACATCAGCAGGGCCTCCTCCTCCAGCCAGCAGGACGACTCGAGCCCCGAGCGGGAGCTCACGGCCGGTGAGTCAGTCAGGGCGAGGCGAAGCGGCGAAGCGAAGCGACGGAAGCGGCAGTGACTTGACTTTACGTAGGCGTACTTCGTACTTTCGGCCGGCATGACATCCAACGACATCGCGGCCTCGGGGCCGGCTCGAATCGTCTCTCTACGTCTCTCTTTCACACCGCACTGCTTGACGTCTCTCTTCTCTCTCTCTCTCTCTCTCTCTCTCTCTCTCTCTCTCTCTCTCTCTCTCTCTCTCTCTCTCTCTCTCTCTCTCTCTCTCTCTTTCTCTGCATCTTCTCTTTCTGCTTCTTCGTCTTCCTCTTTGCTTCTCCATCTTCTTTCGCTGCAAGGCAAGGGTGGGCCGGGCTGGGCTGTCGCTAAGCCTCGAGCGCCTGTGAGAGAGCGGGTAGACTGTCCCGCAAGACGCGGACGCTCTCCGGGCTGGCCTATCCCGTTTCGCGCAGGCGTTTCTCCGCGTTTCTCCCTCTGGCCAACCAGATTGTCTGCATTTTCTTTTCCTTTTCTGCTTCTTCGTCTCTCTCTCTCTCTCTCTCTCTCTCTTGATAACTCCGCCTGCCACTACCTCTTCACCACACCGTGCACTAACGTCGTCAACACACTGCCAATCTGAGGCTTTCCTTTGCGGCCGGGTTTACGTCGTTATTCTTTCATATTCCACGTCTTGCTTCTTGATGTTTACTCACCTACTTTGCCGACTGCGCACACACCGAACACCACGTTCTTTACACAAAGCTTTGCGACGTCGTCGTGAGGCGGCACGCAGTGTCCTCGCTCCCCTAGTGCGCCAAGTTGGTCCCGTGGTAGCAGCCCCCGTGGTAGCAGCCGTAGCGGTAGCTTAGCCTGTAGCGGTAGCTCGTTGTTTGGCTCGGCGCCCCACCCCTTCCCCCATCCCGGACAGGTGGTTGTCGTCCTCGGATGAGTGGCTGCCTTGTGGCTGCCCGGCGGCTGCTCGGCGGCTGCGCCGTGGACCCGTGTCACGACGTCTAAATTAAGCCCTAGAAACGTGTGGAGGGGGCCGTGGGCTGCCGTGGGCCGTGACAGGCCCTGCCGCCCGCCCTGCCCGCCCTGCTCCCCCCTCTGGCTCCGGCAGTGTCCCTCCGGCAGCGTCCCTCCGGCAGCGTCCCTCCAGTGGGGTGCCGATAGTGCGCGGTGGAGGATCGCCACACTGTAGGAAGCTCGCGGCCGCGAGGTGCATGGGAAACTACGTGACTAGGTGCTGTCCGCCACGGAGGCAGGAAAGACAGAATCCAGAGGGTGAGTGTGGGCGGGGCGCTGCTTTTGGCCGCTTCGCGGGTCACCGGGCAAGGAGGCATTTGGTTGTTTCCGCTTCCCGTTGCTAGATTTTATACCGTAGCCGCACACTCTGGAAGTCTTATGGCGGAGATTCTCCGTGATATGTTGTTGCAGCTGAATTCTTCACTTACCTCCGAAACTTCAACGCAACTGATGTTGTCGAATTTCTTTAGTATTGTGGAGAAAATCGGAGAAAATCTTCACCATAATATTTTGCTGTAGCCTTTATAGTACTGTAAGATATTTAGAAAGTGGTCACTATAGAGGACAGTACGTGTTGATTTTGTTTAGAGTGTAGTGGGATGGTAGAAAGGGCGCGCTGTTTCCTTGTTTTTGTTCCAACGGCCGCGCGGTGGGCCCCCGCGTAGGCCCGCTCACGGACCGGACAGGCAGGCCTCGTGCCACGGGCGGCGGAACTGAAAATAAAACTTTTACCCGCGAAAAGGCGTCGCTTCGCCTCGTGGCGTGTGGGCGTGTGGGCGTGGACGCGGTGGGATGTGGGGAGGGCGAGGGTCGGCGCGGCCTGTCGTGCAGAGGCCCCGCCGAGGTGTTGGACAATTTTATTTCCGTTGCCTCCAGCTTGCACCCCCCCCCCCCTTCCCCGTGTGGTGCAGGTTTCCACCACCGCAGTCATTTTCCAGAAGAAGGCGCACCAATCCGCCGTTCCGCGTGCATCACGGTGCATCAGCGCCCTCGTCACTCCGTCTCACCCGCACCCCGCGGGACGCTACGCCAGTGCGACGGAGACAGATCGACGACAGCACAGTCGGGAATCAAACTGCAGGCAGCCTCGCTCGCTTTCCCCATTCTCCCGCTGAGAAACTCCGCGACGAACACGCTTTGATACATCACAAGAATGCACCCCCCCCCCCCTGCGCTTTCCGCTCAGTGCTCGCCTTAATTGCGCCGCGGATCTCCATCCCCGTCCCGCTCTCCGTGAAGCAGTGCCTCAGCGCCTCTCGGCCTCGGCCCGCGCCGCGCTGTGCCGCGCTGTGCCGTGACGCCAGCGCACACGACGCCGAGGCCTCGGCCTTGACCTCGCCGTGCCGTTATTGGACCGCCGAATTTGTTCCATTCCGCTACCAATATAGATTCCGGCCCTGCCTGCCTGGCTGCCTGCCTGGCTGCCGCGCGCGTCGTGACGGATACCCCGTGTTATGTCAACCAGCCGCTGTAAATGCCACGCCTCCCAGCCACCTTCTGTTCCGCTGCCTCCTCGCGGACGGGCGGGCGGCCGGGTGGATGGGCGGGCGGGGCGCAAAGGGTAAAGGGTGAAGGGTGGACGTAAGGGCGTCCAAATTATATCTCCTTGGCTGCGTGGCTGCGCCAAGGCCTGTGCCCCGCTCGCCATGCCGCCGAGGCCCCAAGGCACACCAAGGCTGCCACGCCGCCACGCCCTGGCTGCCCCATTTGCGCCCCGCTGGAACAAATTCGATTTGCGAGCCACTCGTCTCCGCCGCGACAGGCGTCCGCCGGCCTCCACCGACCTTCCCGTCGTCGACAGCACCGAGACCTCGTTCCCCGCACAGCGCGCACCACCGCACTGCGACGGCCTCGGCGACGGCCTCGGCGACGCTCTCTCAATGCCCCTCTCGTTGCAGGCGGCGACTCGGCGGCGGCGGGTAGCGGCGGTGGGGGTGAGGCCAAGCTGCTAGGCTTCCTCGAGGAGGGCACCGAGGACCTGCGCTCGTCCACCGAGGAGCTGCAGTTCCTGGAGGAGCCGGGCACCGTCGAGGACCAGGAGCGGCGGCGCCGCGAACAACGCCACCGGCAGCGCAAGGAGAGCACGCAGTCGGCAAGTAGCACTTTCTAGTGCATGTGGCCTTATGCCCTGGGAACGAGCCTGGGAAGTCCCTCCACTAACAACCCTCATTTCCTTTTGCAGTGTCAAGCGGACCTCGCGCCGAACGACACCAAGGAGCGCAAGGACTCGACGTGCAGCGCGGAGGTCGCGTTCCTGACCAGCCACGCGGCGCGCCTGTCGTCCGTGGGCTCCGCGGCGTCGGCGTGCTCCGGGGCGTCGGGGCTGCGGTCCGGCGCGGCTTCGGCGGCACCGTCGCGTTCCCCGTCGCCGGGCAAGCTTCTGCTGGAGACGTCCTTCTGCGGCACGCGGCCCGCCTCGCAGGTCGTGAAGCAGGTGGTGTCCGTGAGCCTCGGCGCCAGCCCCTGCGCCAGCCCCAGCCTCCGCCGCGACTCGGAGGCCTCGCACCTCGCCCGCCACGACCGGCAGCGGCGGCGCACCATGGAGCGGCAGACGGCGCTCGAGGGCGAGGTGCACGTCGTGGCGCACGTCGAGAAGGGCGCGGACAAGGCGGACAAGGCCGACAAGGAGGAGCGCGAGCGGCAGGCGCGCCGAATCGCGGCCAAACGGGCTGACGAGGTGCGGCGCGCGCAGGGCAAGGAGCCCAAGCAGAGGCCGGCCGACGAGGACAAGGTGGAGATGGCCGAGAAGGTGCAGAAAGCAGACAAGGTGGAGAAGGCGGACAAGGCCGAGAAGGCCAAGGCCAAGGAGCAGCGGCCCAAGCGGCCGCGCAGCAAAGCCAAGGAGGACGCGCTGGTGCGCATCATCCCGCTGCACAGCTCCGACGAGGTGGACAGCGGCGAGGAGGAGGCGGAGGCGGAGGGGGCGGACACGCTGGGCCGCTTCGAGGGCCTGGACGACACGGAGGACCTGGAGGTGCAGCGGCGCCGGTGGCTGGAGACGCACGTCAGCCGCGACGAGGACCCCGAACTGGTGAGGATCATCCCGCTGCGCACCGAGTCCGTGGAGTACGCCGAGAAGGAGAGGGAGCGCCGCGAGTCCGAAGGCGGCACCGTGGGCAAGCGAAGCACGCCGTCTCCGAAGCGGCCCGCCCAGGAGCCGCGCGTCGAGAAGACCGTCGCTGTGATGGAGCAGCATCGGCCGAGCTCCAGAACGTCGACCCAGTCAAAGTCACCACAGCCGCCCAGGTCACCGCAGCCGTCGCTATCGCCGCAGCCACCGAGGTCTCCGCAGCCATCACTGTCGCCGCAGCCTCCGAGGTCGCCGAGATCACCGGGGGAGTCAGCCGGTGACGGCGTGGCCAAGGCGCCAGGGCGGCCACGCGGTGGTCGCCGGAAAACGGACCCGAACGCACTGGTACGTATCATCCCCCTGCACTCCGAGGACAGCTACGAGGGCTACGGCGAAGACGACGCGCGACCGCCGTCGCCGCTCAACGAGGCCATGCACGACCTTGGCCTGCCGGACGGCAAGGGGCCGCCGGCTAAACGGAAACAGCCTAAGGCCGTCGCCATCCCCACGGTGCCTGGATCCAGCCCCGCCGCCATCCCCAAGACGTCCCTCGGCAAGCCGGTAGAGCTGCCCAAGGTGCCCGACCTGGCGAGGAGCAAGGACACGGCCAAGGACACGGCCAAGGACACGGTCAAGGACACGCCCGGGCCGTCGCGGGTCGCCGAGCTCGCCGGCCAGAGCCAGAGAACGGGGCTGGGGCCGCGGCCAGCGCCGACCGGGGCGCCGACCGGGGCGCCGGGCAAGGTGCGAGCGGGGCCGCCGCGGCGAAGGGTGGACCCCAACGCGCTGGTGCGCATCATTCCGCTGCACTCCGAGGACAGCTATGAGGGCTACAGCGACGACGACAAACCGCCACCGAACCTGGAGTCGCCGACAGAGGAGCAGACGACGCTGCCGCCGCCAAGGTCACCGCTTATGGCCGAACCATCGGCTGCGGCTCAGCCCCCTAAGTCTCCCATTCCAGTAAAGTGTCCCCAACCACCGCCATCGCCCTCGCCTGCAGCCATGCCCGAGCCCCCCAAGTCACCGCAGCCACCCAAGTCTCCGCAGCCGCCGCGGTCTAGGCCGTCTCCCTCCGAAGGGGTGGCGCCGACGGAAGCGGTGATCGAGGCTCCCCCGCGCGTTCCCGGCAAGCCGAGAGGTCCTCGGCGGAAAGTAGACCCCAACGCGCTGGTGCGAATCATCCCCCTGCACTCGGAGGACAGTTATGAGGGCTACGGCGACGAGGACCTGCCACCGGAGTACCGCTCTGGCAAGTCACCGAAACCACCAACAAGTTTGCCCACGCAGCCAGCCAGGTCGCCGCAGCCTCCGAAGTCGCCACAACCGCCGGCCCAAGCAGCGAGCACGTCGTCGTCGGAGGCAACCACGGGCGACGCCGCGCAGCGTTTACCCGGGAAGCCAAGGGGAGGCCGTCGAAAAGTGGACCCGAACGCGCTTGTACGAATCATCCCTCTCAAGTCCGAGGACAGCTACGAGGGCTACGGCGACGAGGACCTGCCCCCGGAGTACCGGTCGACCAAGTCCACGTCCCAGCCGCAGGCGAGCCAGCCGGCACAGCCAGCCAGGTCACCGCAGCCCCCGGCACCGTCACTGCCGTCATCCAGCGCGTCCGGCACGGGGGACGCGTCGCAGAAGCTGCCTGGCAAGCCCCGCGGGCCTAGAAGGAAAGTAGACCCGAACGCGCTCGTGCGCATCATTCCCCTTAAGTCGGAGGACAGCTACGAGGGCTACGGCGAGGAGGACCTGCCCGACGACCTGCACCTGCAGCCACCCGGCCGACAGGGACCTCGAGGCAGCGGGGGCGTGGACGTCATCGTGGACGAGATCGACATGTCCAAGTGGCGGGAGCCGTCGTTCGAGGAGAACGACATGGTGTGCATCATCCCGCTCAAGGGCGACTACGAACCCCCGAAGCCGAAGCCCGCCGCGGCCAGCAGCAGCAGCAGGACGCAGGCTCGTCCACCGAGGGCGGACGGCGCGCGGAGGTCGCCGAAGATGCCGCCGGAGGAGGAGCTGGTGCGCATCATCCCGCTGCACAGCGACGACGAGGAGAAGGAGACAGCCCCCGCCAGGTCGCCGCGCGCGCCGTCTTCGCTCGACCGTTCGCCGCGCAGCCCGCTGCCATCCCCGGGCGTCACCGCCAAGGCCGTCGCCGCGGAGCCTCCCGCGGCCTCGAGGTCGGAGCCGGTGCGGCGGCGTAGACGATCTGACACCAGGACGCAGCAACAGCAGGCTGGCGACGAGCTGGTCAAGATCATCCCGCTGCACTCACCCGGCGACAGCGAGAGCGAGACGGAACTGGCCGGGTACGCGGCGGCCGCCAAGGCCAACAGGGAGCGGCCGCGGAAGGCCTCGGACACGCGCTCCACCGCCTCGCGCACGGGCTCTCGCGCGGGCTCCGGGTCGCGGACCAGCTCGCGCCCGGGGTCGTCGCGCTCCGAGCGCATGGAGCCGCTGCAGATCGTGCCGCTGGTGGACCCGGACACGGTGGAGGAGACGGGCGTGTGCTTCACGCGCAGGGACCTGGCCATCCAGCAGGGACGCCTCACGCCGTCCAAGGACCTGCTGTCCCAGGGCAGGATCACGCCGCTGTCCATCGCGCCCGACTTCCAGGACCTCCAGGTGAGTCTCGGAAGAACGCACCGCACCACCGACAGCCCTCCCTGCCCCGCTTAAGCCGCGGCCCGGCTGGTGCGGGTGGCCCTCGGGGCCATCGGCCTCCCCGGGCTGTGGAACCACGTAGAACTCGTAGACGGGAGCAGATCGTTTGACCTACCGAAATTAGACAACGTCCTGGCGCCGAGAGCCGCCCGCCCAGGCCAGGCTCCCCGAGCTGACCCCAAACGGCACGTCTTGGCTCCACTCGCTGCATGCCACTGTATATCTGTACCATACCGCCCTCAGAGGAGCGCCGTAGTCTAGCTTGCGGTACTCGCTGTCCTCGGTGTCGGTAGACGCTGCGCTCCGCTGTAAATGTCTGTACATTGCATTTCACCATTTTGTTTGCACTGCTGCATGTTGACCGGCTGGGCCGGGCTTGGCTTCCCCAGCTGTCACGACGAAGCACCAGCACCGGGTACTCCGTGTGCTCCACCCGGTCGCGGTTTTGCCTTGGCCCCAACCGCGCAGCACCATCGTCAGCAGCAGCCCCTTCCGAGTCGCACGCCCCTCCCGCCACGCCCCTCCCTCTCATGTCCGTGATGCACTACAGGTGGACGACTGGGGGCAGTCCGCGGGGCAGTCGGATGGCCTTGGCGCCAAGCCCGCCACACTGGAGCTGGGCGCTGGCTCGCTCAGCAGGCACCAGTTCGGCGCGTCGCCCAAACTGCCGCGGCGCAGCGACGGCCACGCCGACGGCCAGGCCGCTGGGTCGCGCAGCCCGTCCCCACCCCCCGCGCCTCCAGCCGCCGCGGTGGCGCGCAAGTCATCGCTGTCGTCCATCTTGTTCCGGCGCTCCGAGGTGCACAGCCCCGAGTCGCCCTCCACCAGCTCCGCCAGGCAGAGGCGCGCGTCGGCCGCCCCGGCCATCATGTCCTCGGCCGGCTCCCCCAGCAGCTCCTTCAGGGACTCCCGGAAGACCCGCGACAGGACTAGTGAGCATCCCCACTGGAGTTCGCTGCGGCGGTCACGTTCATATTGTTTTGCTCTGGAGGCGCCGTTACGGAATCTGCTCCAAACCCTCCGCTCCAACCCTCTGAATTGCTTCAAAATTAAGTGAAAACAGTCGAAAAGAGCAATCCGCCGCAGCGAACCTGTTGAAAATGAATGTAGCACCCGGTGACCGGTTAGTGACCCTGTCCGCCGCCGTCCGCAGCGCACTCCGCCGAGTCCGGCAAGCAGCGTCGCGAGAGCAGGGACGCCGGCAGGGTGGCGCCGGCACTGGCCTCCGACCACCGCGACGGCCGCGACGGCCGGGACGCGCCCAAGGACACCAAGGGTGGTGGAGTCTTTTCGGCGTTGTTCCGGAAGAAGGTACCAGGATGTTGGACTGTAGTAGAGCTTGCTGTAGTACACGGCCGGGCGAGGAGGGACTGCACCCAGGCCAGAAACGGAAATGTTGACTCGGTGTTTGAACCCACGACCATTCGCCGGCGTTGTTTTTCCCCCTGTAGTGCGCCAGGTCGTGGGTACATGCGCCACCAGCATGACGGCGTGCTGCCCTGGGTCGACAGTCCGCCCGCGCCGCGCCGAGCCCCCTGAACTAGACCCTCTGAATGAAGTGTTTGCCTGCTTGGCCGTGCTCTTGCAGTCTCTGCAGGAGCGACCCGACTTGCCCCCCACCCCCAGCACGCCCAGCCACGTCCACCTTGACGTCCACCCCGCAGAGGGCCCCGAGCACCCCGAGGGCCCCGACGAGGGCGTCGAGTTCAGCTTCACCTGCGAGGCGACCTACAAGGTGCGGAGCGCGAAGCGCGAAGCGGCACACTGCGGCCTAGCGCGACCGGCTAGCCGCGGCTAGCCCTCCCTTTCCGATCTTTCGCCGTCAGGCCCTTCTTCCGTCTTCCGTCTCTTTCTCTTCGTCTTCCTCCCCGTCGTGCATGAGAGTCGCTCTGACAAGTAGCCTCTGGGGTTGTCAATACCATGCTATGGCAGCCGTGAAAGCTTTACCTTTTGTTTTTATTGCTTTACGCTCAAGGTTTTCATTTAGGCGAGTTTAGTTTTGTTGTTGATACTGTAATATAATTAAGTAGGGCATGGGTAAACTTTGCTGGACGGTTTATTTTACGGTCCACTGTTATTGCATCTTTCGGTGGCTTGTCTACATGCCTGTCAGTCTGACTGTCTGTCTGTCTGTCTGTCTGTTTTCCTGCCTATCTCTCTGTGAATGTCTGACCCCATTCCTGTTTCTCTGCCTGCCCATCTGTCTGTCTGTCATTCAGTCGGCCAGCCCGTCTGTCCGCCAGTCTATCTGTTTCTCTGTCTGTTGGTCTGACTCTGCTTGTTGAGGTGAGGTAGCAGTTGGCCGCATGGTGTGCGCCTGGTTGTATTGTAGCGGTTTGGCTGCATGCTGTCACAGGAGTGCTTCCCGGAGACGACAGCCGACGACACTCCCCTGCCGTCAGTGTCCGTCAACATGCCGGCCTGTTTGCCTCCGGGCACGTCTCCGGGTACGCCTCCAAGTACTCCTCCGGGTACGCCCTCGGGTACGCCTCCAAGTACTCCTCCGGGTACGCCATCGGGTACGCCTAGGAGTGTTTTCCCGGAAGAGCCCAGAGGAACTTCGGAGGAGGGTTCGGGCTCCCCACCTCGCGAGCCAGAGGTAGGTGTGTTGTGAGGTTTCCGGGCTGTTTCCGGATGCCTCCGGGCTGCCCGCCGCGAGGCCTTGAAGCCTGGAACTGCCTGGAAGCAGAGGCTTCAGAGAGGCGATGGCTCGGCCGGGAAACGCGGTGCCGCGGTGTCATTCAGGCCGGGCAGCCTTTGTCGTCTCCTCGAGGTGTTCCCTTCTTCGCTGCGAAACTCTTTCTTCTTTTTATTTTCGCCTGTTTCCCTTTTCCTGTGACTTGTCCTGAGGCCCGCTCCGCTTTTCTCTAGATTCCACCCGCCGAAGTGCTGCCGCCCCCGCCAGCTCCCGAGCCCGCGCCGCCACCCGCGCCGACGCCCGCACCGACGCCAGTGGCACCGGCAGAGCAGCCGCCGCCGCTGCCCAAGAAGTCCGCGTCGCGGGACTCGTGGCCCGCGCCGCCACCGCCGCTGGACACCAACGCGAACCCGAGGTAAGCCGAGCGCGGAGCGCGGAACGCCGTGCAGGGTAGGCAATCCAACACACAGGTGTGTGGCGGGCTTGCCTGCCAAGGGGGGTTTTCAAAGCCGTGGCCCTCCGAAGTTACAGGGGTTACTCCCGACTGTAGGGGCTCGTGAAAGATAGAGACCTTTCGAAACCTGAAAAACAAACTGGATTGCAGCGGCGGCGTCGAGGACGACAGGCAGTCCAGGATGTCGTCGGGCTCGGAGCGGGAGGTGGCCCCGCCGCCGGCCGAGCAGCCCGAGGGCGAGGACGCGGAGGAGGACCACGAGACCAAGGGGCTGGTGCTGCAGCAGGATTCCTTCGACGACGAGCTTCCCTACGTGCCCACCACGCTGCCCATGGAAAGGTTTGCAATGAAACCCAACCGGCGTTTTGCTGGAAACTAAAAGCTTTCGGCAAACGACATGAACCACACTTGATTCGCAGGTCCGTCGCCGTGCCGCTGGTCCCGGTGAAGGAGCGCCTGGCCGCCGAGATGAAGACGTGCCCCATCGACAGGCCGCGCTCCACCACGCCCATCAACCCCTCCTCGCTGGAGGAGTACGTCGCGCCGGGAGCCGCGCCCGGGGCAGGCGCCTCCCCCGCAGCGGGTAAGAGAGAGAGAGGCCAACAGTGTAGTGTAGGCATTTGGTGGTTCGAGTCGGAGCGGAAACTGGGTGAAACAGGGTAACGTTTTCGCTCGCTCTGTCTTGCTCGTGTCCGCCGCTGTCCGTCCTTCGCGCCTCTGAGGCCACAGAGGGCTGTCCCTGGGCCGCCCTTAGAGGCCGTGGCTCACAAAGGCCGCTTACGAAGCCGCTCGGCGTCCCCAGGGGGGTCTGGGGACCCCAACCAGCTCGCCAACAAAGCCACTGCTCACTGGACGAGATCCCCAGACCCTCCTCAGGGTCCTCAGGCCTGGCGGTAGGCCTGTTCGATATCCGGTCGGTGTGGACCAACGCCGAAACAAACATCCGAACAGTAGTACGAGAGTCGAAAAACGAAGCGCGGGCAAACGGCCCGTCGGCCGGCGTGTCGATCATCGAACAGGCCTCGCCATGGCCTCGCCATGGCCTCGCCATGCCGGCTGTTGACACTGCCCTGTTGTAGGCGTGCTCACGCAGCTCTCGCAACTCACGCCGTCGGGTGCGCGTGCCTGGGCGTGGGTCTGCGTGGCGTGCTCGGCGCTGTCCTGGTGCCTGGCGTGGGCCGTGTCGCGGCGCGGCGTGGCGGCCGCCCTCCTTCAGCTGGCCCTGCACGTCCTCCTCCACGCCCTGCTGCACCTGCTGCTGCTGCGCCTGTGTACGTGGAGGGAAAGGCACGGCCGCGGCCCTGGCGAGAGAGGCGGCCGAGGTCCCGGCCACGGCCACGGCCCCGCCGGCGCCTTGGGGGGGACCGGCCCTACCGGCCCACAGGACATGTCCGGGGCGGGGCCGTGAGGACGACCCTAGACCGCCAGGCGCCGCGCCTAGTCTGCAGTAAGCGACACCATCAGGCTCTAGATAGGCGCAGGCAGGGCTGACGGCAAGGCTGCCCAAGGCATGGCGAAGGCGCGGCATTGGACGGCCCGGAAGGGTGACGTCATCAGCCCTTAGCCGAAGCCCTTCACGCTGTTCCACTAACTAGGCACGGGCTGCGTTGGGGCAGCCAGACCAGCCCTCACTCCCCGTAGGGCCACACCACGGACACGACCCGCGCACCTTGGCGCCCTTGGCGACGAGCTTGCTAGGCAACACCGCGGTCCCGTCCCGGACGTCCCGGACTCCAGGGCCGAGTAGACACTTTCGTAGTGGCGAGACCAATTTGTATCAGCTAGATGATGACGTCACAATGTGGGTGCTTGTGAGACCATGTTGCAAGGTGAACGTTCGGTGTTGCAGCGGGTGGCAGCGCTGGGGGCCGGGAGAAGCTCCGCATCAGCCTGCCGCGGACGGACTCCTTGACGCGGAGGTCGCGGCACCAGACGCGGCCCTGGCACGACTTCGCCTCGCAAGCGCTCAAACCGCGTAGCGACTCGCAGTCACCGCCACCGCTGCCGCCGCGAGCGCCTTCCACGGTAAGGGCGTGAACGCGACGTGAACGGCGCCTGCCTTGGCGCGCCTTGGCGCCAGCCTCGAGCTTGCCGTCAGGCTAACCTCTCCCGTCTTCGTGTCCCACAGCAACTGTCACACCCTCCGCAGCAGACCCCGCCGCCGTCGACGTGGATCAACTTCGACGAGGTCCCGGAGAAGCGCAAGGCCCCCGTCCGCATCCAGACCATCCCGTCGCGGGGCTCCATCGTGAGCGAGCCGGTGACGGCGGCGCGGCCCTCCGGCACGGCGTCGTCCACGGGCCACCACCATCACCACCACCACCACGTGCACTACGTGGACCCCGAGGACTGCCGCTGTGAGTGCCACGAGGGTGAGCACCGGCACGGGCCCGCAGGCGGCGCAGGCAGCGCCCCCGGCCCGGCGGCGTCCGGGTCGGCGGCCGGGCCAGCGTCCGGCGCGCCGCCAGCACGACCCCCAAAGGCACGGCCCTTCGGCATGGACCTCGACGTGTCCGGCAACCGCAGCAACCGCAGCAGCGCCACTTCCCAGGTAGGCCTACTCTGCTCTGCATTGCTAACCTAACCTAACCAACAACTTGAGTTCCGAAGTACTAATTTTGCTCTTTCTGTCGTCTTGTTCCAGAACGAGCACTCGTCGCCAGAGGGCGCAGAATGAGACGGTGCGACGAGAATTAGTTAATATTTGTTGTTATTTGATGCGTATGATTGCAATATAGTTTAATAGCAATACAAATGGGACAGTATCTTGTGCCCGACTTATTTGGCAGTGAGCATCCAGGTGTCATTGTCAATTGTTTTTATTACGTGGGTTTTACTTGTTGTAATTGTTGACGAGATGGTAATAATAGTAATGATAAGCTTTTATTATTACTAGTATTATTATAATCATTATTATTATTAATCAAAGGCTGTTTATTATGTTTCTTTTCTTTCGTCTCGCGGTACTTTCATATTCGTAGTCATTTTAATCCTTTCTCCCTCCTCTGTGTCCCTCTCTTTCCACGATGTGTTCGTGATCTCCTAGAGTGTTGTCACCCGGACTTCGTACTTGTGGTCTCCTTGAACAAAACGCCAGACGCACAGAAGTACGCAGCTCCACAATGAAGAAAATTACCTTTAGAATCTGTTGACAAGAACACTGTACACTGCAATATTATTATGCAATACTATCTTTGGCCCTTGGACGGGTGGTGCCATCCAGATGTGTGCTGTGGACAGGCACATCTCAACATATCGGAGCCAACCGTCGGTGGGTTTTAATTCTACGTTTCAAATTTAATTTGCTTTTTAGAAGCCTATCTGTCGATGTACTCTTTCAGGATACCCCTGCGTATAACATCTTGTCTGAATGTGTTCCTTTCGCGAAGCCTTCTTCTTGTGATGAGTCTTTCCGTGAAAGACGTCTACTATACCCGACTATACCAGAAGCGATAATTTTTATTTTTATTTTGTGACCTTCGTTTTTAAGACTGAAATGCAAACAAAGAAGTGTCCTCAGATATGTAAGTGGCCACTTATGCACAAAATTGAAAATATGATCTACTAACGCAATAATTCTGCTAAAAAAAATCTGTGTTTTCATGAAAGAACGTGTAAAGTTTAGCCAATAGCAAATACTGTGCGTCTCTATTATATTTTAAAGTACGTTCTTTTGTGTTATACGCGGCTTACATCAAAGTGGATTCCACTGCAATCAAGCGATTCAAGGGTCAGTGCGGGGAAGAATCGAACAGTGCGGGAGCGGGGTAAACTATCCCCATCTTAGACTGAATTGTCACATTTCGGTACCCGGAAATACTCCCCACCGCACCGGTTTGGTACCCCACACTATTGCGATTGCGTAACAGTATCAGTAAGTCTCAGAGAGCATTCCACTCTAAAAATTGGGCGTCCGGTTTTTCTCCACCCCTTGAGGTATTTGGTTCTGCCCCGCACTGACCCTAGTCTATACCCAGACTATTGTTATTAATTTAAAAATGTATCTGAGACTTTTTGTAAAAAAAAATGTGACAGTGGAGGTGGGCGACTCGCCATTTTATGTGCTTTTTTACTTAGTTTCAAACCTGCCCTTTTGAAAGGCCAAACGCACGAGAGAAAACGGCTGATGCAAAGATTGGATGGTAGTAACCCACACGAAGCCCGAAGTCGAATGGCATCGTAACGGCATCTGTCTTTGCGTTCATTATGCGAAGTTTGAGGTAAACTAAACAAACTTCCATTTTTCTATCACTTACGAGGGTTCTACAAATCTACAAATCCAGGCTGCGCGGTGCGAATGGTCGGCATGAGTAAAATTTTTAGTTGGTTTTTTTTCGGCAACGTCAGAAAAGTTTTACAGAACAATCGGTTGAAAATCTGTAGCTTTAAAACAAAATTGAGGCTGATGTATCTAAAAAAGGTTGTAAAGCTTGTGGTTTTGATTGAAATTGTGCTTACCTACATATCGCTGGCATTTCATGCGACCTGTGACCTTTGAGTGATGCTTTGTACCCAACTTTAATACCATTTTCATACCGTACCCTTATCAATTTTTGTGAATTCACTGCCGTTTTGCATTTAAGCGTGTACTTATCCTCAATAAGGTTTGGCGACGACTTACGCCTAAAGTGCATGGGAGAACAATCCCAACTTGTCTGTGTCATAAACACAGTAGAAACTATTTTTCTTTTTCAGGAAGACTGCTTTTTGAATTACTGAGTTACTTTCTTAGGTATTAATTATGAGCCCGTCGAGCAAAAGGGGAAAATTCATTCTTTTCAAAAGGGTTTCTTTGAGAGATGCGTGTTAATAAAGTGGCTACTACATATCACAATCTCAACTCCTCCCATGCACACAGTAGGTGAATTGGCTTTTAAGGTCCCCTAGCGCTGATAGTACTCTCTAGAGAGTATGTTCGACCTAGCATCCCTGTCTTCTCATATTGTACTTCGGTCTGAGCAGACATAACGTCTCACGTCCGTACTTTATCAGTCTGTTGGAAGCGGAACCTTCGCCTACCAGACACCTTACTTGGCGCATCAAGCGCTCGGGAAATGTCCGCTGTGTTCCAATTCCATCCTTGGGACAAACTAACGAAAACCATGCTCTAGTGCTGCCAATGTTTGCAGCTCCTTCCAATATACCCATCCATTTTGTCAATAAAAAAGGTAGAACATTAGACTCTTGTTCAGAGGAGAGAGACTGTAAAATGTTTCCTATGATCGTTGTTTAGTACTTTGAGCTAACAGCAACCTCGACATGAACTGAATGAATGACAGAGAATGTTAATTGATAGGTTGTGATTTGTTAGCAAAAGACGCCTTATCATTAGAACCAGGCTCTGCGAATTTCGATACGTAACATTATGCTGAATTTTCTTTAAGTGATATATTATTTTGAATCGTCTGGTATTCTAGGTTTGCAGTGCTACGTGTTCGGTTTTGTAAATGAATGTAATTGTTGCAAATTCTTCTATGAACTACAGTTTAAGGCCTGTTAGCGTTGTTATGAAAACTAACTATCGTTAGGTTGTGTTGTGGTAAAGAATTGCCACCAGAGTTGATTTTGTTTTGTTAGTGACTTTAACAGGGAACAATAATTAGAACAGATGAAATGTTGTAAATTTTGAGCTTTAATAAATGTGCATCCATCCCTTGTTACCATTATGAAACTGTTACTATGTGATGAGTCCCTTGTTGATGGTGTTCATTTGATAATATATTTAGGATGTTCTCTGCAATCTAGTCTTTATTTTACGAAAAACAACCTTTTTGCACAACAGCGACACTGTCAATTGCTGCGAAACAAAAAAAAACTCACAATTTACTTCATGTATATGTTCATCTTTATTTAATCGTTTTGAAATGCATTTTAACACACAACTTAACATTCCTGTGAATACAAGAGTCTGCTGAGTTCACTTTGCAATTTAACAATTTTTTTCCATCAAATCAAAAATAAATGAAATATGCCACGGGCAACGCAATAATCTATTTACATTCATATATTTGATCTACCAAACTTGATAAATTTTAACACTGAACGCTGGTCTCAACTTTATGTTTTGCTGATGCTTCCTCTTAAATTATGAGATCAGATGATATTTGTGATCTTGTGTGCTTTTACCATCAAGCCGATACATACATCTCCTTATTGTTCAAAATTTACATGATGTGTATAATGAACACTTCGTTCAACCAGTTATACGTAAATCGAATGGTGCTCCATCCTAAATCTAAATGATAACTCACTACACAAGCGTCATAAACATTTGCCGTCACACAAAAATATGGCCTTAGACATATTTACACAACGAACGAAGAAATGACAATTTCTCTGAAAAATGGTTGAGTTCGCTCAAATTGAATGGAGAAACACAGGGTTCTCTGTTCGCGCGACATCTTAATAAACTTCCAGAACATAGCATACTTGTTAACATAGACAGTTAAGCTTTAAAGCCGCACACAAGCACTCTCATACAAGGGGAGGGGGAGGGGCAGCTGCAGAGGCTAACAACAAGACAACGAAGGCAAAGGAAATCACAAGTAACAACAATTAATAGCAAGCTATAGATCACAAATGCTGATAAATATCTTCGATATTGGCTAGGATACGTTTGGCCCCAGCATATGATTGGTATGTACAAATAACTGTAAGGGAAAATCCATTTGGTGCTCCGCAGGAGCAAGTTTTAACCAAAGGCTGATTCTTTACAGTTCCACGCAGTGCGCGTGGTTAAACCTAATATTTAAGTACTTTCCGTTCTGCCGCTTAAGTTGAGACAATCGATGTCGTAGAGACTGTGGGTGCGAACTGATTTGACTTTCGTCGCCAAGTTGTCCCGGTCAAGGACTGAAAGGGCGACGAAAGCTTCACCAATCCACAAGACCATCAAGTCACTAGAGCTGTCGATGAAAACGCAAAATAAAATAAAAAGGAAATCAACACTATTTCTACGTGTTATTTATTTACGCATACTTATTATAGACACCTACACTAACCGTTTATTGCACGGGCCCTCATTACGTAATAGTTATTGTAATAGCACTTATTCTAGATCATTACTTTGTACGGTATCTTATTTGTCATGATGGGAGCGCCTTCGTGAAGGTCTAACAACCACACAATTAACCTAGGACTGTCAAGTCCGACTAGAATCCACTCGCTTCGGAAACACTTTCGTGACATCCGCAAAAATAATGGGTCAACTTAATAAGATAACTTGAACGAAAAAGGTTAGACTATGACCTAACTTAAACGTTACACTATTTACAGACTACGATAAGGGTGCGAAGCACCAGCCCCGGTGCACAGCGTGGCACCTGCGGGCTCGGGCTCCCACCTCTGTGACTAGCTGTCTTTGGTATGTCGCTGAGCCGGAGGTTTAAAAGCCTCAGCGGCCAAAAAAAGGGGTAAAAGAAAAAGAAAGAGGAAGACCACTGAGAAGCTCCTTACCCGACACCCTACTGGATGTTTTAAAAAAATTCCAGAGATGTAAGACGGAGAGACTCCCAGTCACGCCTCACTTACCGAACGACAAGAAAATAAGCTTACCCTTGCACACATCCCTATCACTCGCACCTCGCCTCAACCATTCACACGTCTTTTGCCCTCTAAATGCAAATATTTGTGCTATCACAGTGGGCGATGCCGCCGTAACGCCCACACGAAGCAAACCAAAAATGTCACCTCCCAGGGTGTCATGCAGGAAACACAACATTCAGGCTTACAGGGTGTTTAGCAGCCTTCTCGGCGCCACGCGGCATCTCAACTTAGCTAACGGGTCACTCTGCCATAGTTTTTGACGACAACGGCTCGGTTTTAAAACTAATACACGAATCTTCCGCCTACTGACCCTGTGAATGAACAGGAACAAAAACAAGTGTATATACAGCGCTCGCCTAGGCGCATCGAGGCGACGCTAGGCGGCGTGTCGCTAATCCTAGATTATACTCCACAGTTCTGCACTCTGGCGGAGCGTGGCTCTCATACCAGTTTAAAGGGAAAAAGAAATTTAAGGAAACAAAAGTATTTACATTGCTACGTCACACTGTAGCCGACTGTATGGCACTTCTTCACTCATCGGGTTCGCGTCAGAATCGCGAGTGCGCTTACCACACCCACTCATCTGACTTTCGTTATAAATTGGTTAGTTTTACACACACAAGAAGAAAATGCTAGACAAAAACTCATAAGTGCACACTCTAATATACATTTTGTTTTTATAATATAAATGAGGAACTGAACTGAGGAACTTCAAAGAATGACAAAAATAACAAGAACTCTGGAACTCTTTTACGAACAAATCAGACAAATCATATATCCCTTAACGTGAAAGGAAATAATTTTGCTAACTCGAAACCAACATAATCTTAATAACAATAACAACAATAATATCACGTCGGTAAGATGATATGATCTCCTTAACATATTGGATACACCTTCAACCAATAACACTTAATAAATATGCGATGATGCTAGAGTGTGAGTTTCACTGTAGTGCTTTACGTTCACATCACCAAACTAAGTTAACTGTTAATTGAGACGAACTTCAACAAGTTCCATGGAATATACATCTAGACATAGTTATTTTGCTGAACTAATACAACCAAAATTATCGTCTCGTCTTTATGACTAATCATCGTACAGCACTACCAGTGGGGTGTGTCTTTCCCATCGGTGCGGCGATTCGAATATTGTCTCAATAGTTATGTTTTCATATTATATTGTACACAGACTAACGCTACGTACGTACATTTGAGTAAAACAGGAGGCGTAACAGCCTACATTTTTAACACTCAGTAAGCTTAGATTAAGTATATTAAGTATTTGTTATCTGATACACACTACAGTTTAAGCTAACTCACAAAATACTTTTTGGCATACAGTATGTACATAATATAAGCACAATGAAGTGCGCTTTACGTGCGTAACAAACCAACGGTTCATGAATATTATACGGTCTACCTAATTTAACTGTATCTATCAGTCATCTTATAATATGTAAAGCGGATTATGGAAATCTACATTATCGCCAAAATATCCATACCCGACGGGTTTGCAACAATGACTACACTTTGAAGACAACGAGATCGTTGGAAGAAAATAAAGAACACTTTATTCCTCTGCACACTGCCGCAACAAGAGGGGAGGGGGGGGATGTGACACGCTATGCAACAATCAGATTGTGCACTCGTCGCGCACGCACTCACACATACTCACATACACAACGGCAAAAAGCTAACTTATCCAAGATACATGTTTTCTCATCATCTGAAATTCAACAAAAGTCGAGTCACAGCAGCGCGGCGCTGCCCCTAGTCGCTGTCACTGTCGCTATCCTCGTGCTTCTCCTCGGGCACCGGGGCGGGGGCGGGCGCGGGGGCGGCGGGCTTGGTCATGGTAGCGGCGATGTAGGCCGCGGGGCCCTCGCCCTCCGTGAAGTCCACCTCCACCCTGCACAGAGACCGCGCGTCACGACACAGCCCAACAGTGTGCTCCGTCCCTCTCGCCAAGTCTAGACAAAGACGCACCTGTACTCGTGCCGCGACAGCTGCCGGACGTACTTCTCGGGCGGCTCGTCGGGCTGGGGCTGGATGGACACGGAGCGCACCGTGGTGTGCGACACCTGCGTCTGAGGCATCGTGAACTCGACGTACGCGTACCGCGCCAGCGCTGTGGGAGAAAACGTGTCAGTAAAACCAAAAGCGCCCCTGGGGCTTAGGCAAACATCATGACGGCGCTCACTTTGGAGGTCTTGAGGAATCTGGTCGAACGACGTGAGGTTCATCCTGCAGACGAGCCCGTGCGTGGTGTAGGCCCCTGTTGGAATGTTCAAAGAACAATTTAGTACAGTTTGCCCTTGGTTTGTCCCGCTTCGTCCCGGGCAACTCGCTGTGCTTACCTTGACCCTCTTTGGGCAGGCGAGGGACTCTCCACACGATGGAGCGGTGCTGGTGCTCGTACTTGGCCTGGCCAGAGGTGACCTCGAGCAGCGACTGGTCCAGGGTGTCCACCGCGCCCAGGAAGCGCTCGATTCCCTTCACCTTGCCGGTCCTGGAAGGGCGCCGTCGGGTAAGTACCAGTGTGCAATACCTCCCCGATCGCGGTCCTCTATCTCTGTCTCTGTCTCACCTGCGGTGGGTTGACTTGACGGAGCCGTACCGGAAGTGCTTCTCTACCCGGAACAGGTAGATCCAGCACTCCGGGATGGGGAAGCGGACGCAAATGTCTTCACACGGAATCTGGCCGTACTTCCGGCTGGAGAAGCCAGGCACTAAGATGTCCGCCCGGAGCACAACCTGTAGCAAATACAACCCAACGTCAAAGTCCAGTGTTGTATAGTTTTTTCATTATTTTTATTGTTAGTTTTGGGCTTTTTTCTGCTTTCTGCTCGGTCAGACGCCGACACTCGGCAGCCTCGGCCTCGGCGCTCCGTCTCCTCGCGGGCCTGGCTTACCTTGTTCCCCGTGATGACGTAGACGGCCTTGAGCTGCAGGGGTAGCTCCCTGTTCCGGGGCGGCCGCACGCGGAAGCGCATCAGTTCGATGTAGCAAGCGTCTGGCGGCTTGAACCTGCGCCCCGCCAAGACGGCCAGGTTAGTGGTTAGTAAGGCATGCGGACGGGGGTTAGAGAGTGGCCGGGGGAATGAGTTAGTGACACGCAAACAAAGGCGAGGTCGTTAGACGCGGGGACTCACTTGATGGTCTTGGTGCGGTCGTACTCGTCCAGCTGGACGCACGACGTGAACTCGATGTTCTCCAGGCGGATCCACTCCTCCGTGATGACGGGGATGATGTCGTGGCGGCCGACCACCTCCTTGCCCTGGCGCGAGATCTCGTTGACGCCCAGCTCGATGTCGGGCATGCCGGACAGGAAGCCGAGGAAGAAGAGGCGCACCCGCGCGATCTGGCGCTCCACGTGGCCGAACTTGTCCTGCTCCACGTACAGCTCGTCCACGGCCGTGATCTGCACCTCCTCCTGCTTGTAGTTGAGCGCGCGGTCCCGGTGCGCGGGCAGCTTGAACAGGGCCTCCTCCACCACGATCGAGAACTGCTTCATGTCCTCGTAGTTCTGCGAGCCGATCTTGAACAGCTGTGAGATCTGCAACAGAGCGAGGCTCGCGTGAGTCGAGGGAGTCGAGCGGGCATACGATCACGTGTGGTCTAGCCTTTAATGGTAATGGTAATGAGGTAGGCCAGCCCGCGCCACTCCGCTGCTTTGCGGTGCGGCCCAGCGCTGCTTCGTAGGCGGCAGCGGCCGGAGCGAAAGAAAAAAAAACAGACAGCGGTGATTTGGGATTCGAACCTGGGGCGCGTGCTCCACCGGCATGCCGAGCTTCTTGAGGTCCGACGCGAACTCCTTGCAGCCCTGGTAGTCGCCCTGGATGGCGTACGCGGCGAACTGGCTCAGCTTGTTGGTGATGCGCTCCGCCTTGGTGACCTGGCCGGGCCGCACGCCCGGCCGCTCCTTGTAGAACACGTACTGCAGCTTCACCGTGAAGATCTTGCCGTACTGGTCGAACTGCTGAGCGCCTGCGGGGGGAAGGAAACGGCGCGTTAGACCACCGGCCGGGCTGACCTCTTTTGCTGTCTCAGTGACAAGCTTACTTATGTCAGAGACGCAGTAGCACGGCTGCAAAGGCAGCTCCTGGAAGGGATCTTTGTCATTGGGGGTGTTGAAGAGCTGCAGCACTGGGTTGTCACCCTGGTACACCAGCTTGATGAATATCTTCTTCCAGAACCTGGGGCGGATGAAGTGTGGCTTAATTTTGGGCAGATTCGAACAATGCACAAGTCACTCATTTTTGGCGCGGCGCCTTACCTCTGCCCGGTGATCTTCTTGCGGTTGGGCTGACGCAGCTGCATCTCCCAGCCCTGGCCGTCGTAGTGGATTCGGGGGAAGTCCTCGAGCGGGTAGGAAGTGTCCTCGTCGTAGAGCGGCGTCGGCGGCGTCTCGGCGGAGTCGGTGCGCTTGAAGTCGCCGCCGGGCGGAGTCATGGCTGCAGGCACAGTGCAGTGTGAGTACGGCCGCTAGAAGGCTCTGCTCTTTCCCAACAGATCATTGTCACGGTGTTGACTTACGTGGTCGTGCCTGCTCCTGCTGCGCGGCGGCCGCCATCTCACCGCCCTTGTCGAACGGGTTGAAGCGCGGCGCCGAGTCCACGAAGGCAGTCTGCATCCTCGGCTGCGGGGGCCCCGCGAGCTGCGGCACGAAGCCGTCAGCCGCGTCGTACGCCGAGCCGCCCTGCGGCCTGGAACACAAGGAACACATTTAAAACACCACGACGTACAACATTTCTGATTTTTTATGTTTTTTGTTGGGGACGTACTTGATGACCACTCTGAAGTCGGGTCCGTCGTCCGAGTCGGCCGAACCGGCTCTGGACACCCGGGCGGGCGTGGACTGCGGCACGGGGGGCGGCGCCTGCAGCGACAGGAAGTCGTCAAAGCCGTCTTCGCCGCCGAAGCCTCCACCGCCACCGCTGGATACCTCGGTCCCACTCGCTCCCCACGCTGCAAATTCGCGTTTGAAGGTCAGGAACTATTCAGAAAATACTGGCTAATTCAGTTACATTATTCGCATCGGACTACTCACCATCACTCCCACCGAAGGCGTCTCCTCCACTGGGGGCGGCGCCACCACTGCCGCCGAAAGGGTCAGCGAAGGGGTCAGAGCTGACGACGGTGCTGCCCACGCTGTCGAACTTGGCCGAGAACGCGTCGAAGTCACTGTCTCCAGTGGCGCCGAACGCGTCAGCGGCTGCCGGGGGCGGTGCTGCGGCGGGGGCGGCACGGGGATCGAAGCCCCCGCCCCCACCGAAGAAGTCGTTGGCTGCCTGGGCGGGAGCCGAGTTGAGTGCGTTGACGGCCGCCGTGTCCGAGCCGAACAAGTTCATGATCTCGGACGTCTTCTTGGGGCCGCCGTTGACGGCGGGGTGCGTGCCGAACAAGTCAGTCTGCTCCGGCTGCATCGCCGGCACGAACGACGGCGGTGGCGGCAAGTCCGGCCTAGTGGGCGTCGTCGCGGCGCTCGGCGTGCGGGCGGGAACCTCTGGTGCGGGGGGCAGCGGGTGCGCGGCGTCAGGGCTGGCGGCGACCGGTGCGGGCGGGGGCGGTGCGACGGGCGACATGACGGGCGAAGGCGCCTTGGGCGGCGGTGCGGGCCGCGCCGGAGGAGGCCTTGCCGGGGGTGGGCGCGCAGGGGGCATCCTGGCGGGCGTGCTGCTTGGCGGGGCGGGGGCGGCGCTTGGCGGCGAGGTGACTGCAGCGACCTCAGCCGCGACAGGCGCTGGGGGAGTAACAGGGGCAGGGGCAGGAATAGGTGCGGGAGCGGGGGCTGGAACAGGAATGGGAGCGGGCTCTGGTTCGGTGGCCGGGGTGGGTGCTGCGGGCTGTATCTCCGGTGCGGGTGGTGCGGGCAGCGGCTCGCTGGCGGCGGCTTCTGGCGCGGGCACGCCGTACATGCCGCTGGCCGCGGCGGGCACCACCACAGCTGCGGGTGGCGCCGCGTTGAACATGTCCATGATGTTGCCGTGGGGCTGCTCCGTCATCGACTGCGCTGTGATAGGCGGTGGCACGCCCAGGTCGTCCAGGTCGCCGAGCAGGTTAGCCTCCTCCGCGCCGGTCGTGTCCGGCGCGACGCTGCCGCCCAAGCCCACTCCGAGGAAGTCCGCGTAGTGCACGTCCGTGGGCGGGCTGGGGGTGTCCCGCATCAGGGTGGGGCTGGGTGTGCGGGTGGGGGGCAGGCGGTCGAGCAGGTGCGACGACGTGGCCTCCATGGCGCCCGTCACGCTCAAGATGAGGTTCTTGGTCTCCTCTGGCGGGCCAGGGCGAGGCGGCGGCGGCCTCATCGGGGAGCTGCGCCCCGAAGTGGGCTGGCTGGGCGGTTGTGCGCGCGCCACGCCTCCGGCCGCGAAAATGTCGGCCGTCTCCATGCAGTAGTCGGGCTGGGCGGGCTGACCCTGCAGCTGGAGTGAGGACGGCACTTGCCGCGTGTCCTGCACCATGGGCTGCACCGCGGGCTGCGCCTGGCCGCCGTACGCGTCCCAGCCGGGGGCCGCCGCCGCCACCGGAGCGGGCTCCGGGTCGGCGAAGGCGGCGAAGGGGTTGGTGCTGGCGCCGTTGGTGGCCGCGTACGCGCCCTGCTCCGCGCCGCCCTGCATGGCGCTGAAGAACGGGTTCTCCGCCATGGACGGCATTTCGTAGTCGCCGCCGGTCAAGAACGGGTTGGAGCTGGCGGCGTCACCGGCCGGCGCGCCGTAGTCCGCGTCGTCCATCAGGAAGGGGTTCCCTCCTGCCTGGAAGTCCATGTTGGCGGCTGTGTTTCGCTTTCCTTTTGCGCTTACTGACGGCCGATCAGCTCGGACTCGAGAATGCGGAGCTCGGTCTTGCCGGGGCCGAGGTCGGCCGCGATGGACGTGTCGAAGGGGTCGACGTCGTCCTCGGGGCCGTCCAAGGAGGAGCTCTCGCCTAGCACCGGGGTGAGTGCCTTGGCGTCGTGCGCCGGGGCGCTGCTGAGCAGGTCCTGGTTGGCCTGCTCCGGGCCGTCGCGCGGGTTGAAGTCGGGGTCCGTGTAGGTGCGCTTGATGGAGGTCTGCGGGTCGTTGGTGATGAGCTCGTTTTCGAGCACCTTAAGCTCCGCCTTGCCCGGGGCGATGTTGCTCGCTATGGACGTGTCGAACGGGTCGATTTCGGCCGCCTCCTCAACAGCCGGTGTGAGCGGGCGGTGGCCGACGCCTTCCTCGACCTTGAACAGGTCCTGGTCGACGGGGGCGGCTGCTGCTGCCTGCGCGCCACGCGGGTCGAAGTCGTAGTCGGAAAGACTGGGCTTGATGTCGGGGGCGCTACCCACGAGTTCGTTCTCGAGGATCTTGAGCTCAGTCTTGCCCGGCGCGAACGCCACGTGGGCCGTGTCGAAGGGGTCGACGTCGGCAGTGATGTCGGGGGCGTCCTCCGCGTAGTACGGCGTCAGCGGCTTGGAGAACTTGGTGCCTTCCTCGGCTCCTCCGAGTAGATCCGGCGCGGCGGGCGACGGTAGCACGAAGGCGACGCTCTTGTGCACGCCAAGCACGTCGGGGCGCTGGGCCTTGTTCGTGGCCTCTTCGGCGCGCGGGTCGAAGTCGTCTTCGTCTTGCGGAGCGGCACTCGCTGCGATGGCTCCACCGGAAGCGACGTCACCGAGGATCTCCTTCTCTAGGTAGCGAAGCTCCGTGCGTCCGGGAGCCGTGACCACGTCCACGGCAGAAGTGTCGAAGGGGTCGTCGTGGAGGGCAGTCTCCTCGTCCTCCGCCGCAGCGGTGTCGGCCGGCGCGATGGGGTCGTGGCCGAGCTGGGAGAGGTCGCTGCTGCTGCCGCCGAGAAGGTCGCGGTGCACCACGGGGCTGTGGTCGATGTCCCCGGCGGGGTCGGTCACGTAGAAGCTGACCTGCGTCTGCTGCTGGGCAGGCTGCTCGCCTGCGCGGGGGTTGAAGTCGAAGTCGCTGTCGCTGTTGGATAGGATGCGGGCCTCGTTGTGCTGGTCGTGCTCGAGGATCTCTTTCTCTATCAGCTTGAGCTCGGTCTTGCCGGGGAGGATGTTGTGCGCGATGGAGGTGTCGAAGGGGTCGATGTCCTCATTGGCGTGCACCGGGGGCGGTGCGGGGCGTGGTGGAGGTGGTCGTGAAGGCTTGAGGTGCGGGTGCTCGTGCTCGTCCTCGTCGAAGGCGGACCAGCTCGCCTGCGGCCCGGCGAGGAGTACGTCTACGTCGGCCTTGGGTTCGTCCGGCTGGCCGAGGACGACCGCCGCGACGCTGGTGTCGAAAGGGTCGTCGCCGTCGACGGCGAACTCGTCCTCGTCCTCCTTCTGCTTCTGCAGGGACTCCTGGGCGAGCGCGGCGAACTCGTCGTCGAACTCGTCCTCCTCTTCCGGTGCGGGAGGGGGCGGCCCTCCGAGGGCGGCGGCGACGAGGGCGAGGTTGCTGACGGGGAGGTCGACAACCGGCTTGTCCGCGATCACATCGAACTCGGAGAGGTCGATGTGCTTGTCCTCCTCCGCGGGCTCCTTGTCCTCCTCTGGTGCTGGTGCAGCCGGGAGAACGGACGCTGGGGGGATGATGGGGGTGCCGACGGGCGGGAGGTCCTCCGGGATAGCGAGGGCGTCGTCGTCGAGGAGACTGGCGGGTTCTTCCGCCGCGGGTGCCTCTCCCTCTACTGCCTCGCTGGTTCCAGAGTCGTCGAAGCTGCCAAGCTTGAGGAGGTCGACGGGCTTGACGCGGCGCGGGACGGCGCGCTTGGCGACGGCGTGGTCGGGCAGCGGCGGCGGCTTGGAGGGCGGGGCGGCCTTGCCGGTGAGGACGTCGACCGCGATGCCGAGACTGACCTTCTCGAGTTTCTGCTTGCGCTTGATGTCCTCGTCGTTACCGATGACCTTGGCGGCGTAGGTGGTGTCGAACGGGTCGTCGCCGTCGTCGGGCTGCTCGGTGGGGCTGTCCGGGATGTAGGCTAGCTTGACCTCCCCGCTGGTGATGACATCGATGTACGAGGTGTCGAAGATGTCATCCCCTTCGTCTTCTTCTTCCTCGCTCTCCTCCTCCTCTTCGTCTTCGTGCGTTTCGAAAGCGGCGGCCTGCGGTGCTGCTGCAGGCGCTGGTGCTGGCGCGGCGTGCTGGGGGTGCTCCTCTTCGCTGTCAGCGTCCTCGTCGCCGTCCCCGAAGCCGACCCACCTCTTGCCCTTCTTGCTGGCGGCGGCTACCGCGGTGGCGGTGGGTGCTGCTGGCCGTGCGGGCGGGCCCTCGGCCTTCTTGCTCTGGAGCTCGCTGGGGGTGGGCTTCCGCTGGAAGTAGCTGGTGGACTTGATGCGATCGAGGTCCCTCTGGGTCTTGTTGAGGATCGAGTCGACGCCTCCAAGGAGGGCCTGGAAGCGGTCCTCGTCCTCGGGTGCTGAGGTGGACGCCGGTGCGTTGGCGTTGGTGCTGGCCGCTGCAGGGGCGGGTGCGGTGCCGTGGCCTTGGCCGTGGTCGGAAGAGGAAGTGGACGCGGCGTGGTCGTCGGGCCCGACCTCCTCGGCGGCGGCCTCGGCCTCCTGCTGCTCCTGCTGTTCCTTGAGAGCCTTCTGCCTCTTGTACTCCTCGAGCTCCTCGGGAGTGAAGAGATCCTCGTCTCCTTTATGTTTACCCTTTTTTCCCTTCTTCTTTTTCTTGAGCCCTTTCGGTATCTTCAGCATATTCTAACAAGGAGACGGTATTCCTGCGGAAGAAGCAGAGAAGTGGCGTCAAGGGAGACCCAAGGGGAGACCCCATCCTCACCGCCCGCGCTTCCGGGACTCGCGAGTTACTTACTCATTCTGTGTGGCCGGGAGCGACTGCACCTCAACAATGTTTCGGGGGCTCATACAGACAGCCGCGCCGGACAGAAAAAAACCTGCAACAAAACAAAATAGGTTACCAAAAAAGGAAATCAAAGCAAGCCCAGCAAATGCCAGCAAGTTATTAAATAAATAAAATAAAAATGATCGGGACGGGGGCAAGGAGGGAGGGGAGTACCAATAAACCAGAATTATAGAGTAGACGTGCCGCACACACGTGTACAGTAAATGAATTATTCGCTGCTCACACACTGACAGGCACACGCACACAGGCACACTGCTGACACACGCCGTTTCGCGTTGTCTGCAGCGAGGGGAGCGAGGCGGGGTTTATCAGTCTCAAACATTCACCCATTGACCGGAACGGCACGGCCTACTTCTCCCCTCCCCCCGCCGCCCCAGCGCCACCCCCGCGCCGCCCCCACCCACGCACTGAGTCACCCAGCCCTCCCCTCGGTACCGTGGCGTGTGTGGCGTGCGTGCCGTGTGTGCCGTTCTCAACTCACCGAAGGAGCTAATGCGAAAGGGAAGGGAAGGGAGGGGCCGGGAGGGCCGCAGTATTTCCAGTCTATTTGCAGAGCCGCTATTCGCGGCCATCCGCGGCTTTTCGCGGCGCGGCCGAAGTGGGCGCGTGGTCCTCGCTGGAGGCCTCCCTCGAGTGCCCCGAGTGCTTCGGGAGTCGCGATCGACAGGACGGGATTGGCAGGTCGGGGCGGCGCCGCGCAGCAAATAGCTTCCATGGCTAAAAATAATGCCGTTTTTCTCTCTTTTTTTTCACGACGCCGCGAGTGCAGTGGGGCACCGAGCTTGACGCGTTAACTTGGCACGCGTCCACGACGTGGCGGGCAGGGCGGCCGTCGGGCCGTCGGGCCGTTCGGGCTGGGGTCGAGGGACTTGCCTTGGCTCGCGAGGTGCACGCCGCACCGCACCGCGCCGCGCCGCGCCACGTGGCCAACACGTCGCCGTCGACGCCGCACCGGCACCCCCTTCCTCAGCCCATCGCCTGTTTCTGTACGCAGCGATGAATCGATACACACATCCCCAAGGTAGGCAAAGTCCGGCGCGTCCTTCAGAGCACCATCCCGTCCGTGGAAATGGCGACCCTGGGTGCCAGAGGGATGAAAATCCTGCAGACTTCCCGGCAAACAACAGGGTTCGACACAAACAGCCTCTAGCGTAGTGGACAGGCAGCCAGCAAACACGTCCTCCCCACCCCCACCCAACTACACGTTTACACGTTCTCGCGAAAACCCAGTCAGTACCCCAGCCGAGACCCTTGCCCCTGAAGAAACGCGAACCGACGAGAATCCTTGTTTCCCTGTAACGAACCTTTGCAAAACCTTCAACGCTGGCCGAAAGGGCAATTGCGCAACGATTGCAGTAAGGCCAAATCCAGCCAGAAGGCCGTTCTCCTCGCAGGGCGCAGGTGACGGACCCTGACGCAACACTCGCGACAGCGACTGGAACGACTGGACCCCTATCTCGGCCCCCGCCAGGCGTGGCTAGCCAGGCTAGCCGCTAGCCTCGCAGCGCGCCCTCTTTGGGCGTTTTCAGGAAGGTGGTTTGCGTGCCGCTCGCGAGCGTGGAGCGTGGCGCGTAGCGCGTACGCGTGCACCGGGCCTGCACTGGGAGTCTGTTTCGGGATGCGTGCTCCACGCCAATCAATACCTCAGCCGGACGAGTCGGCACGGGATGAGACGGAGCGGGACGGGACGGGACGGGACGGGACGGGACGGGACGGGACGGGACGGGGCGAGCAGAAGCCTCCTGTCTGGTCTCGCGGGGGATGGCTCGGGGATGGCGATGCCACCCCACACCCCACGGCCTTCAATCTGACAGGCTCGTCTGGGCCTCGGCACGGCTCCAGCACCGCGTCGCGCGGACCGCGGACCGATCGGCCAGCGGCACCACGTCCACGTCGAGCACCTCGGTGGCCGTGTCTGCCCTCTACACTCACCCTCTGACCAGGCAGAATCCCGCCATCACTCTGTCTCTCTCGCACTCATGGGGCATCCGCGAGGTGCGAGAGAGACAGAGCGACCAAGCGCAGCACGTTGTCGCTCCCCTGACGGCCGCAATTCGCAACGGTCGCCCCGAAAAGTGCAGGGCGTAGCGCGCCTTGGCCTCGCCAGCCTCGCCATCCAGCAGGGATCGATACCCTTCCGGCTCGAGAACAAGGAAGGCATGGTCCAAAAGGTTGCGACTCCTGGCAGTGGCCCGGTCGGCCCGGTTCGACAGCGCGGCCCTCGCGGCCCGCGTGCCCGCTCGGCTGGCCGAGGGCTCAGGGCTGCCGAAGGGCTGGCCAAAGGGCCGCGGGGCACGTGGTCCGCCATGCTCGGCCTAGGTCCGGGTCGCTCTCCACCCAAGATGGCGGCGCTGCCTGGCCCGCCTGGCCCTGGGCCGCCAGGGTGGCTGCCGTCCTGGCGCGTTTGTTTGGACGTGACCGCTAACCTTTTGCAGTGGAATGGACGGTTAGGCTAATTCGGGAGGCCGTCCGCAGTCCGCACTCGAGAGGCGCGGCGTGGCGGGCCGGACGCCGTGCCTTGGCGTGCGTGCCTAGGCGTGCACGCCGTGGGTGTCGGCGCTACCACGCCCGTGCCACGCACGCTGGGCTGACGGCCTGACGGCCCTCCCGGCCTGCAGCAGGGCTTCTGCGAGGGGGCGGGGGTGATTCACCGGGAGCAAGGGCGAGCAAGGGCCGCCCAGCGACGCGCAGGTGCACTGCAGGTGTCGGGGGGCGTCCCGTCGAGGTGGGCGTCGCGTCGCGTCGCGCAACCACTTGACACTTACTTGATCAGCTTCCGAGGAGCTCGTCGGCTGGCATCCCTCGCGGTGGGTCCGCGGTGGCTTGGCGGTGGGTCCGCGGTGGGTCCGCGGTGGTTTGGCGGTGGCGTCGCGGTGCCCAGGCCCGTTGGCCCCCACGTGCTCCGCGGGTCCGCGGCTGCTCGGCACTTCGCTCGGCACAGCCAGTACGACACTGGCCCGCCGCCCCTCGGCCTCGTCTCTCGCAGCGGAGCAGCAGAGCAGCGCGCCGCCCCACGGCCCTACGGCCCTGCGGCCTGCCCTCGCACGGCCCCCCAGAGCCCCCTGGCGCCCCCTGGCGCACGGCGCCGGGAACCTGCTATCGACGAGCCCGCCTCGCCTCGCGGCACGGCGCGGCAGCGCGGCACGGCGCTGTCCACGGTTCGCGGCGGGTGGAGGAACAGTAGGGATTGGGGGTGCTGCAGGGGTGGACGAGCAGCAGGGCGGCCCATGGCGAGGCCGGGAGCGCCGCCGCCGCCGCCGCCGCTCGGCTCCACCCGAGTCTTCGGAGTGCTTCGCCTTCGCCTCGGAGCGCCTCGGACGATCGATGCCCGGCGGCCCAGTGCGGACTTGGCGGGGCCGGGCCGCTCCGAGCAAGCCGACGGGCAGGCCGACTAGCACCCCGAAGGCCCGAACACGCTCGGCCGTCCCTGCACCTCGCACCCCTTGCTCGCCGCCACCCCCTGGACCGGCCGACGGCACGGCGCATGCGCGAGGGGTGCCACGCCGGCCTGGCGTAGAGGGCCTGGCACTCCCCCGGACGGAGCCGCCCCTGGTCTCGCCCTACCCCATCCGTCGGCCGCCCTGGCCGCCCTGGCCGCCCTGGCCGGTACGCGGGGGCACAGCGAAGTGCCGATGCGGGAGTGCGCCGAGCCCGGCCGAGCCCAGCTGAGCCGCGCCGGGGGTAGACTCGCCGGGGGTAGCCACGCCGCGCTGGGGCTGGGTAGCTGCGCCACTCCACGCCCCGCTGCACCCGGCTGATGAGAGGCACGCCCCTCACACACTGCACCTGTTTGTCGCACCGCCCCGTCGAGGGCCTCGTTAGGTGCAGACTGCGGTTCGCCCTGGTGACGTCATTCGGCTGGCACGGTGTTTCTCGCCGCACCCTCCGCCTTCCTGTCTCTTTCTCTCTGCCGCCCCGTCCGCCAGTCCGTCTCCCTCGGCGCTGGGCCTCTTTTCGATCGAATCGCCTCCCACGCCGCAGCGGGAGACGGAGAGCGGAGGGTGCCGCGCCGTGCCGCGCTGGCCGCGCCCGCCGCGCCGAGGCCCGGGAGGTTCCCAATGACGTCACGCCACTCCCAGTAACGCCAGCGCTGCTTTCCGGTGGGGGGGGGGGGTGGAATCTATTGGTCGAGTCTCCGACCCTCAGATGGCATCCTCAGAAGGAATGGGTACCAGCAACCATTTGCACCCCCTCTCATCAGCATCGCCGCCTCTCCCACCCCTCCGCACAGCCCCGAGCGCCGTCCGGCCCCCAAACCTCGCCCGCCCACGCCTACTCCCCACCACGACCCCCACCCCCTCATTGCGGTGCCACTTCACACACGCCCCTGGGGACAGGAAGACACATGCGGTGTTGTTCTTGTGCTTTTTTTTCGCGGAATATTGAATGTCTAGCCGAGTCAAAACAAAGTTTAGCAAATAGAAAACGAAGGCAGAAGACGGACACAGTGGAGGATGGTTGGAGAGGAAGAGGGGGCTTCGCTCGAGTTATGAAACTTGGGCGAGTCACGGTGAAATGAGCAGCAACAGCCAACAGCGGCGCTACCCCGCGCGCGAGCGCCGAGGCGCCGAGCGAGGGGTATCGCCACGGCCGCGCGAGGACCATCATCCTGCAATCCCGGATAAGCCGCACGGGCATTCCCCCCGCGCTGTTCCCCGCCGCCGCACTGTTTCACTGTTTTCGCACCATTCAAAACTTCAGCCGCGCCGTGATTCAGAACTTGCTCACCTCCCCGCAAATGCAGCAATGCAGCCCAAAGCAACAGTTGTTTGCCATTTTCCACGGCGCTGCCGGTCTAATAAAACGAAACGCTACCCATTCCGCCGCCCTTCGCGCGGCTTGCCCTTCGCGCCCTTCGCCACCCCACGACGGGGCCATGCAGGGCCTTGAATGGCTGCGGGGACAGGACGAGCTCCAGGAGGATGCAACAACTCCCGCCGGTTGCCGATCTCAGAGTGAAAAGCTGCAGCCGAAGGAGCCGGCTGCGCTTAGCTGTGCCTAGCTGTGCTTAGCTGTGCCTAGCTGTGCTTAGCTGTGCTTAGCTGTGCTTTGCTGTGCCTAGCTGTGCTTAGCTGTGCCTAGCTGTGCCTAGCTGTGCCTGGCCGTGCCTGGCTGTGCCTAGCTGTGCCTTGCCTGTAGCGGCGGCGGGCGGGCTAAGCACAGGCTATTGATTCCTGCGCCTTGTGATGCTGCAGCGGCTGCAGGGGGTAGCGGCGGGCAGGGGCGGGCAGGGGTGGGCAGGGGCGGGCACGGGGTGGAAGCAGAGTGAGAGGGAGGGGGGAGGGGAAGGAGGACGGATTAGACTCGTTCTGAAACTGCCGCCGTAAGAGTGAAAATTGGTGTCAAGTGTCAAGAGAGGTTTTGTGGGAATTTGAAGGAGCGTTGTTCTGTTTTTACGGCGTACCCTCACCACGGTGGAGCGACGGCCTTCCCTCTCAAGGGAGGCGCGGGGAGCCCTGCCTTGTCACTGCGACCATGTTTACATACTGCCGTCTGTCGCGTCTTCACGAGCCGCTGTTGGGCGACCGCCGTTCAATTTCATTCGGATGTGTTCTTTTTGAGCGGCAACTTTTCTTCGGCCGACGGAAACGAATGCAGGTGCACAGGCCCTTCTAAACGGCAGCGAACAGTGCCAAGTAGCGTGTTGGTCCCAGGGGCTGCTGTAGGGGCTGCGAGCGAGAGGAAACAAGAAAACAACAAGCTGGCAGGCCTAGCGGAGTGATGAAAAGCTCCATCCGACCGATTTGTATTCACTCGGATGGAATGGAGTGGCATGGGATGAGCGCGAAGGCTCACTCGCGCAGACTTGAGGCAGTTCTTGAGGCGGTGGTAGCGGCGGTAGTGCCATTCCACGTCCACGGTCCACGCCCTGCCCCAACACGAACATGCCCCGGCCGGGGCCTTGCGGGGCGCGCCATCCATGGCGCCCTCGCGGGGACGGGAGGCCCTTCATTCTCCCACACGTCTCGCCGGCTCACCTAAGCGCTACGCCACTACGAGGCCCTACGCGGCTACGCGCCGCGCACGCCGTCACAGCCGAACCAAAACACAGACGTAGTTCCCGAGTACGCCGCCCGGGGCGCTGTGCATCACATCGACACAGGGCGCGCGGCGGACCGGGGCGGACCAGGGTCAAGAAAAGCGAAATGACCCACTACAGGCTACGGGCGCGACTTGCCGGCTTGCGTAGCTTGCGTACCGGCTTGCCCGCCAGACGGTCTCGCTCGCCACGCTCGCCACGCACAGCAAGGTCGCCAACGTAATGAACGCCGGCATGAGATGACGCGAGCGAACGAAAATGAAAGAATGAATTCACGATGAGCAAATGCATGGATGATCGGAGGAATCAATGAATGAATGAATGAATGAATGAATGAATGAATGAATGAATGAATGAATGAATGAATGAATGAATGAATGAATGAATGAATGAATAATTGAATGATGAATGAATGAATGAATGAATGAATGAATGAATGAATGAATGAATGAATGAATGAATGAATGAATGAATGAATGAATGAATGAATGAATGAATGAATGAATGAATGTTGGCGCCGCAAGATTGATGGGCGAGGATAAGGCTCCGACAAGTCTAATGCGGCCCCCACCTCGGCCGTCTCCGCGTCGCTCCGCGCTCCGCGTGCGACGGATAAAGGATACCACCATGGACGCCGGCGGCAGCGCGGCGGTGGCGCGGTGGCGTGGCGTGGCGGCCGGCGCGCAGTGGCGTTGCGGCGACGCGCCGCCGCGGTCCGGCCGGCTGCGCGGTGCTGCGCGGCTGGCGTGGTTTGAGTGTCGCCGCCTCGCCGCATCACGCGGCCCGGCCATTCGGCCAAGAAAGATACGTAGACACTGCCGCGGGAGCGCTCCCGGAAACTGGTCGGAGGACACTTCACGATTCGCGCGAGGAATGTTGAGCCCGCTGAACTTTAGAGCAGTAGCGGCATGTATCACGCACTTTCAAAATCATGGAAGGGCAGTGATAAGCAAGTGCATACTGATGCACCTCCACGCTGACGAGCGCTCAGAGTTAACGCCTGATGGGTCCAGGGGTTCAGGCCAACCGAGCTGGTCTTGTGGTCGGCGTTTCGGGCAAATTCGCGGTTCGCGGCGAGTCCCCGCCCTGCCTGCGCCACTGGACACTTTTGGCCTCGACTGTACGGGGCATGGCGAGGCGGGGCGCGGCGGGGGGAGGGAGGGGGTGGCGGTCCGGGCGGACGGGCGGGCAGGCGGGCGGTACGGCCGAGTGAAACACGCTCGACGGTCGACCGAGCGGGCGGGGCGGGGCGGGGCGAGGGAAGGCGGCGCGGCTCGGCGGGCGGGGCGGGGTAGGGCGTGGCGAGATGTGGCGGAGCGTGGCGGGCAGGCGCAGCGGGGTGGCGGGGCGGCGGGGCAGGCGCGGCGCGGGGCGTTGGGTATGGGGCTGGGCGCTCAGCACGCCGCCGCCGAGGCCTGCCGCCGAGGCCCGCCTGGCCGAGGCCGAGGCCCGCAGCGCTGGGACGCAGACCCGTAGAGCGGCGGACAGATAGACAGACAGGCGCTGGGCAGGTAGCTGGCTCGCTGGTCCTCCCGCACCTGCAGCCCCGGCGGACCGTCCTGGCGGCCTGGCGGCTCTAGCGCTGGCCCAGGTTGGGTCATCTGCACCGGCACAATGCAGCATGCAGGGCATGCAGCGTCCGTCCCGTCCGCCCGGCCGTCCCCCAAGGCAGGTGTCAGCAACTGGCGATGACTGCAGCAGGGGTGCGGCGGACTTCGCCGGCGCTCTGCACGCTGGCATGGACCAGAGCAAGGCTGCAAGGCCGGACACCCGCCATTACGTAATACCACTCAATCCGCGACCGGCTCGCTGAAAGGAGTGTCGCTTACGACTTTGGAGGTTCTTGGAGTAGCAAGTCAAGGAGGTCGGTGCACTGGAGCACCCCAGAGAGCGGGGAGGGGAGGTAGAATCACTCTCACCCTCACACGCCATAGTCATAAAACGGCACGACGGCAAAACGCTATCAGTCCAACGCTCACGATGCAAGCCAGGCAGGCCGGCGTTCGAACGCGTTTTGCGTTTCGCGTGGATCGTTGCCGGCGCCGCTACGCGCGTCGGCCGTGCCTCGCGCGGCTGCTGCCCGCCATGCCCTCCGCAGCCGCCATGCCTCGCCCGTCGACCGCCGGCCCCACCTCCCCGCCCCGCCCCGCGGCCCCACCCCCGCACCCGCCGACCCCACCTCCCTCGCGCCACGCCCGTCGGCCCCCCGCCTGCAGATTTCCTGCCCGCGCGTCCTCCCTGCCCCGCCCGCTACGCCCCCAGCGCGCCGCCAGGGCAGGCCCGGCTCAGCACCGCCACGCCCGCGCGGCCCCGCACCCGCCCGCTACGCCCGGCCACCGCACCCCGCTCTCCCCGCCCCCCGGGCCGCGTCCCAGCCCCCCGCGCCCCCCCGCCCGCACCCATGCGCCGCCCGCCCCGGGCCCCCCCTCGCACAGCCCCGGCGCGGCCAGGGCCCCGGCCCCGCCCCCCGTTTGCCGGGCCGCTCCCGCGCCCACCCGCCGCAGCACCTCGGCCCGCCCCGCCCCGCCCCAGCCCCGGGCCCGGGGCCCCCGCCGTTGCCTCGCTCCGTCCCCGCCGCAGCACTCGGCCCCGCGCCACCCGCCAGCCCCCCCGCCCCCCTGCCCGGCCCTTCGCCCGCAAGCTGGATTCCGAGCGCCGCGCCTCGCCGGGTTCTCCTCGCACGTATACGGCACGCCCCATGAGTGCGAGAGAGACAGAGTGACGAAAACCACTCTCAGAATCAGTCTGCTTCTGGTCCTGCTTCGCCTCGAACCGATCCGCCACGCCCCGCCGCCCTCGCCTCGTCTCCACTCCCTGCCCCCTGCCCCTAGGCGCTGCGCCGGTCTGCGCTCGGCCCGGTCGGTCGGTACGCCTAGAGCCCTAGAGTGGCGGACGGCAGGGCGCTTGGGGCTCCACGCCGTGCCACGCTGCGGCAGTGGGCGTTTTCCCGTCGCGTCCGTCGGCGTGCTGGCGGGCTGCTCGGGCGAGTTCGTGCGGTGTCGACTGGAGTCGACGGGGTGGAGGGCGGGACGGAGTGGGGGCGGGGCGGGGCGCGGCGGGGCGGGGCGGGGCGGGGCGGGGCGCGCGGAGGGTGGCGCGGCGCGGCGAGGCACGCGGAGCGCGGAGCCAACGCGGAGAAGCGCTAGTGCTTCTACTGCCTCCACGCCACGGTGACGCGTAGCGCGGCCCGGCGTTCCGTCCTGCGTCCTGCGTCCGCCGCTCCCTGCGCCACGCCGCAGCGCCGATTCGCCGAGTCGGCCGATTTATCACACCGGTGAGTTTGGGCGGGAGTGCGAGTGATTCGGCGAGTGACAGTGGCCCCAAAGTGACTAGTGCCGGCGAGTGACTTGGCCAGTGACGCGTGCGCAGCGCGCGCAAGAACGCGCGCCGCCATCCGGCGTCCGCCGAGCGCCCCGGCGCCCGCGTCGGACATCGCCCGCTTCCTGGCAACTTGACGTCTTGACTTGAACTTGTTGGTTGAGTGACTTGGCCAAGTGTGTGCACATCAGCTGGCGCATGTCCATCAGGGGTAAGACAGCGTCACGTCACTCTCTTTCTTTCTCTCTCTTCTTATCGTAGCAGCGTAATCGTAGCAGCGTAGTCGTCGATCGTAGTAGGTAGTGGTCAACTTGTTCTTAGCTTGCTCGTCCTTCTCGTAGATGATGGAGGGACTTCCCCTCCCTCTCCCCTCGCGCGCGGCGTCGCCGGCTCGCCCGCCGTGCGCGCGCGCTTCTCGAGCGGAGTGTACCGCTCCGCCCCGCCTCCTCCGTCCCCGCCGCCGCCGCCGGCCGTGCCGTGCCGAGCGGGGCCGGGCCGGGGCACGCCGGGGCCGGGGCCGCGCTGGGGCCGAGCCGCGCCGCGTCGCGCCGTGCCTTGCTGGGCGTGCCAGGCCGCCAGGGGCGTAGCAGCGTAGCACGGCGGGCGCCTAGCCGGTCAGCGGGCGGGCGGCGGGCGAGTGGGGGAGGAGGGTCGAGGCGTGGCGGGCAGGGCGGGCCTCACCTGAACCCAAGCCCAGGCTGGCCGAGCAGGCCGAGCAGGCCAGGCCGAGGCCCCAGCCAGACCATCAGACACTGCCTGCCGCTGGGCGTAGAACGCAGCCGAACCGTCCGCGTCGTAACGCCACCTTGTCCTGTGCAGGCGACGCCGGTGCCGGTGCGCCTGAGAGGTCCGCCGCCGACAGCGAGGAGCCGACGGACCCGCCGCTGTCCGAGACGCCACCGACGGAGGCGTCTACTGCCGAGGCGACGCCGGCGACGCCGTCTCCCGGCGACGAAGCGGACGCTGACGACAGCGGCGGATCGACAACGACTACTCCTGTCCGCGCCGACTACGCCGTCGGTCGGAGGGGCCCGCGGGGGCGCAGGCGATCTCGAGGGCGTTCTCTGGACGCTCCTCCTTCTCCCAAGACGAGGAAGCGAAAAACATCCACCATTCCAGACGGCGAGTGGCTCCCGGGCACGTGGCCCGCGGGGCACGGCGGCGGCAGCGTGACCAGCGTCGGCGTGGGGGTGGGCGTCATGGAGACGGAACAACTCATCTCGGAGATCGAGCGGCGGCCCGGCATCTACGACTCGGGCTGTCCACAGTACCAGGACCGCGTGGCCAAATGGACGCTGTGGTGCGAGGTCTGCGAGATCATGACCCCGCGCTGGCACCACCTCGACGAAGACCGCAAGGCCGCAAGGGGTAAGTCCTTCGTCTATCTGATAGCTGACTGCCTGTGGGCTTGGGCTTGCCTACCCACGTGGCGCCCGCTGCGACTCTGCTGTCTAACGTTGTGGTTGCTTTTCCCCGTTTCAGTGAAAGAACTACAGAAAAGGTGGAAGTCGTTACGGGACTCCTTCATGAAGGAACTGAAGCTACAGCGAGAAATACAGCGCACCGGCCAAATAGCCAACAGGAAAAAATACGTGTTCTTCGACCAGATGACGTTCCTGATGCCCTGCCTTGAAGCAAGGGGGTGAGTAATTCTGCTGGCGTTGGTGCCCAATCGCCCCCAAGGCGCGGATAGGCAACACGTTCCACCGCTTAAGAGCGTCCTTGTAAATGACTTTGTTGGTTCTTTGCAGGTCCACGCGCTCTGTCGGCGGCCTCGTCCTTCGGGAGGTGGACCCCTACGAGTCCGAGACGGACAGCTCCAAGGCGGAGCGTGACGGCGGCGACGCGGCGGACGCCAACGAGTGCCAATCGGACGACGCGCCCGTCAACCTGAGCACCGCGAACGGCAGCGGTGTGCCTTCCCTCTCCGGCCTCGGCAGCCTGAGTGGCCTCGCCGGCCTCGGCGGTCTGAGCGCGCTGGCCAGCCTGGGGACGCACAGCGTGCTGGGCTCCGTGGCCACGACGGCCACCACGTCGGGTAGCGGCGGCGCCGGTTCGCAGTCGGACGAAGAAGCCTCCAAGCCGGCGCACCTGCTGACCACGGCCACGACCACCACAACCAGCGCGAACAGCGTGTGCGCGGCGTACGAGACCGGCCGCACCAAGTACAGGCCGGCCGCGTCGTCCGTGGGCCAGCCCGAGTGGAAGCGGCGGCGGTCCGGCACGCCGCTGGCCCCGTTGGGCGTCGGCATGTCGTACGACGACGACGAGGACGACCCGGACGGCGACCGCCTGTTCATGCTGTCGCTGGTGCCGTCTCTGCGGAACCTGCGCGGCGCGGCCAAGTCAGCGCTGAAGATCGAGCTGGCCCAGCTGGTGCACAAGACGCTGTACGAGCCGGACGACGCGTTGGCCGACTCCATGACGGAGTCCCTGGCGCCGGTCGTGAGTCTGGCCGAAGGCAGCCCCGCGTCCTCTACGCAGTCCGAGTGCGGCGCGTGCGGCACCAGCAAGTGCACCTGCCGCACGAAGATGTCATCGGCCACCTCCAACAACCACCCCGTGCCGCTGGCGCTTCCCCTGCCGCTGCCCCTCACCCTGCCGCTGCCCCTGTCGCGAGGCATGCACAGCCCCAAGCGGGCGCGCCTCGGCATTGGCGGCCTGGGGCTCGACTTCAGCAACTTCAACGGGCACAGCAAGGTGCACGGCGTCTGAGCCGGAGCGTAGGGCGTAGGGACGTAGGGCGTACGGCAAACCGGTACACTGGCGCCGCTTGAGTTTTTCTTTTCACCCACCTGTGGCTGTGGCTTCGGAAAAGAAACAGGGCGTGGAATTGTTGTTTCAACCCGGAGCGGCGTGTAGAATGCCTCGGAAACGTGTTGGACGTCCTGGCTTCAAATCCCCCTCATTTTTCCTCTTGAATATTGCACTGACTGTACACGTTGCAGACGCATCTGTCTGTTCCACTTCCCTTAGGTTTTGGATACGGCTTGCTAACCCTGTTGTCGACTAGCCCATCTTTGGTTTTTAGCTAAAACCCATTTTTTACTCCGCGAAAGGGAAAACTCAATTGGTAGATGGACAGTTTCCTGGTTGGCTTTCTTAGATTTTCTGTTGATCTCATTGAGGCGCGCGGCGGCGCGAGGGGGCCTTACTTGTCTTAACGACCACACCTGTGTGATATATGTGATGTGTACTTTGTTTACTTGTTATAGTTTGTAAATTATTACGGATACTGGAAATAGGGCATCCCGACTTGCCACCATGTTGCGATTCAAGAATAATTTTCATACAAAGTAGTAGAACTATTTCCCTAGGTGTTCTCCTTGCTTAGAACCATATATCATAGTTACCATAAAGTTTTGTTATTTTTTTTAAATGACAGACAAAAAGCTTTCTATTCGAGCAGGAATTTGAAGAATAAATTGTAACTTCTTGCATAAGATAGTTGTAAGATAGATGAAATCTCACCCAGTAGACAACGCTGTTAAGAAAAAGAATACGACATTTCTGTGGAATAATAATTATTGTTTACTGTTTATATACCTGACTGTACAAAAAGAAGGAAACCTTGTATAGATATTAAAGTTGACATTTTCCCACTCGTTGATTGTCACTTTTGGTTCCGACGTTCCGTCCTCAGTTGCGCACACCAGCACAATGTCGAGCCTTCGCCATTCAAACTTTCACAAATATGTACAACACTCTAGAGCTAAAGTTTTAGCTAAAATTATGCCTCAACCACAACGCCACCGACGCTACTCTTCTCCATTCTGATTTGCGCAGTCGCGTGGCGCGGGATGGCACTTAGCGCTGCAAGGTTTGCCGGCCTTGTTGCAGCCACAACGGCGAGTGCCAGTGGCACTGCCACAGCCAGTCAGGCAGCGGCAGCTGTGTTCCGTGGCTTGTCGAACTCCGCTGCTCGACGAATGAGAATGGGCCGTCTGCTCTTTTGCCGTTCTCTGGCCAACGATGCTGTTCTTCGCATAATCGGCGCCACGCTCTCCTGAGACGTTTCAGTTTAAAACGCTTCGCGCACCGTAAGCCCGAATCAGCGCTCCCTATCCTTACTTACGTTTGTTCTCACAGTTGCTTTCATTTGGATGGCACTTGACGTTGCAACCCTGCCCAGCCTTCATGCAGCCACACCTGAAACTGCCACAGCCCGTTTTGCAGCTGCATTTGGTCACAGCTTCGCTGCCAACACTCTCCCAGCCTTCTGTCGCTCGGCTATGTCTGCTGCTCAACCGTTCTGACGACTGTGCGACCGACTTCGACTGGTTCCGGCCTGAAACGTATTTAGGCGTAATCAATTTTTAAACTTGGAGCTCAGCCTCTTTGCCCGATTTAACTGTTCCTTACCTTTATTTTCACAGTTGGTTGCACTAGGATGGCACTTGGCGTTGCAGCCCTTCCCAGCCTTCATGCAGCCACACCTAAGGGTGCCACAGCCCGTTTTGCAGCCGCATTTGGTCGTAGCGTCGCTGTCATCACTCTCACTGTCCTCACTGGCAGTCCAGCCTTCTGTCGCTCGGCTATGTCTGCTGCTCAAACGTCCTGACGACTGTGCGACCGGCTTCGACTGGTTCCGGCCTGAAACGTATTTACACGTATTTAATTTTTAAACTTGGAGCTCACTCCGCGCGATTAAACTGTTCCTTACCTTTATTTTCACAGTTGCTTGCACTAGGATGGCACTTGACGCTGCAACCCTTCCCAGCCTTCATGCAGCCACACCTAAGAGTGCCACAGCCCGTTTTGCAGCCGCATTTGGTTGTAGCGTCGCTGTCATCACTCTCACTGTCCTCGCTGGTGGTGCTTGTGATCCAACGCTCTGATGATTTTGACTTGCCCTGTCCGACGCTGCCGGCGCTGTCCGGCGCAGTGCTGCCACGCCCACCTGAAACGCAATAATTCGAATAGCAGAAGTCTTGAACACTGCACTTCGCCTCTGCAATGCCCGTCTTCCTTACCTTTATTTTCACAGTTGTTAGCGTTGGGATGGCACTTGGCGTTACAACCCTTGCCAACCTTCAAGCAGCCACATCTACGAGTGCCACAGCCCGTTTTGCAGCCGCAGCTAGCTACACTATCTTCACCAGCAGTACTGTCTCCTGTCACTCGGCTGTCTTTGCCTTTTGCTGGAGCGCTGACGTCGCCGACCCTTGGACGCTCTCCTGTAACAAAATGCCAGTAAGTATCAAAAGCGTTGTCTGGCTCTTTCACTCCACTGTTTACTAAGCGAGCTCTCACTCACGTCTGTTCTCACAGTTGCTTGCATTAGGATGGCACGTGGCGTTGCAGCCCCTCCCAGCCTTCATGCAGCCACACCTCCGAGTGCCACAGCCCGCCTTGCAGCCGCACCTGGCCTCGCTGTCATCGCTTCCCTGTCCTGTGTCTGCTTCGTGGGGACGTCGTCCCTGGCTGCTGCCCGGGAGCCCTCGTGGCTCGGGTCGGTGGCGGGCTTCAGCCATGTGTCTTTCCGGGCCCTCCCCTGACTTGCTTCCGGGTGGCGTCGCTGACGTCGAGGGAGTCGCCTCGCCGTTGCGGCACATGGAGGACCGCGGGTGGCAGTCGCGGCCGCAGGAGCCGCCGGCTTTGTAGCAGCCGCACGTTTCCGTCTGGCAGGTGCTGTCGCAGGCGCAGCGCCTCGACTTGTTGACGCACTTGGCGTTCTTCTCGGCGTGGTGGCAGCCCGGGCCGCACGGCCGGCCCTCGCGCTGACACCTGCACAGGGACGTCGGCCTGCACCCGGTCTTGCACGTGCACCCTGGACATGGGCAGCGAAAAGTTGTGCACGTTGAGTCAGCTCACTCACGTGCAGCCTTCATCACATACCATTAACAATGGACAGCGAAAAGTCAACTCACATATACTGGTGCCGTCGTCCGCGAGGTCTTGGTGCTGGACGAGCGAGATCCTCCGCATTTCGTCCGCAACCCCTTTCAACAATGTCCAATTTCTTTCCGGTATAGACAGGTACAGATTCTTTACAAGACTACTACTTGTCACCTCGGAGGTAGCGAAGACTTTTGCACCCTCGAAATCAATCAACCTTTTCATTTCACTGTTCACGTCCTTGGTGACATCCATAATCTCGCACGGTTGGTTGGACATGAGCTTTTTACAGACAACTTGGCAGAAGACGTAGACAAAGCGCGATCCTGCAAAATCCAGCTTCATTCAGTGACTCGCAATTGGATTACTGCAGTTAACATGTGCAGGGAAAAGGTGCGTGTTTTTCTCACCTAACTCTGTGGACCTGAAGGATATTCGGTCGTCTATACAAGACTGAAAAACCAGTACGTCTGCCTTCCGGTCTGCCGAGACGCAGTCGGGCTTGTAGCTCGGCTTCGGCTCGTACCGATATTCCTTGGCGGTGCCGTCTGGTTCCGCAGCCACTGCCACAGGAAGAGGCGACTCATTGCATTAAGCGGTGTGGGGCTTAAATCGTGGGGGAAATGGAGGAAAGCGGGTTCAGACATAAGCAAACACAAGTAATTGCTTTCTCACAGTAATTGAATCCACGACAGGCTTGGATAAGGACCACTTTGGCTCTGTTCTCGAGATTTTTGCAGTGGTCTTCAGTGAACAGTGACACAATCTGTTCCCTCGAAAGAATTTCGCCATCGTTAAACATGACACCTTTAATTTGAAAAATAAAAAAAGATGAACATTGAAAATTGACAACACTTTAAAGCTTAAATCATCTGTACAGACCATTCTGTTCTCCGTGGCTCATGATACACAGGAAAAAGGGGCCAGCAAACTTGTCCCCTACAAAGTGTCCCATGGCCTTGTGCAGGCTGCGGACGAACTCTTCCTTCGTGCAGTCTGTCTCTCGAATCACTTCGAAGCCCAGTAGTCCGAACAGCTGGTTGAAATAATTTTCATCGTGTTCTGCGCCATGTCGAGTTTTATCTGGCTGGAAAAAGGTTTTAGTTGCGTGCAAAACAAAGTAGCGATTGGCATTCGAAACCCGAGAGTAGCTCCAAATTCAACGCGAGTAGATAAGAGAGGACCGACCGATAGCGGGTAGCCAACACGCTGTGCCCGGCGCGCGGCGCGCTTGAAGCTTTCAGTGTATTCCCCACCAGCTACCAAGGAATTTCCAAGCATTTTGCCGCACCACAGCAGTTTAAGCACAATTTGGCCTCACCTTGTTACGAAATTTTTTTATATTGATGATCAAAGCCACGCCCGGTGAATTCGGGTAGCTTCCCGCCCTGGTTGTTGCTGCCATGATGTTCTATCGAGGGGTCTAGGCAACTGAAATTCTTATCGAAGAAGTCGATATATGGAACAGCTGGACACGGAATAGAAAGATTTTAAGTTCCTCCTCTTTTGCGTGCTTCGACAGCGCATGCATATCAAACACTGACTAGGCGAGACTCAATGGCTTCTACTGCCGGACGCAGTACAGTTGAAGACTGGCCGCTGCACCGCGGGTGCGGCAAGGATTGAAGCGAGTGGGTGGAAGGGGGTATCGCGTATGGCGTAAGGAGGAAGGGGAAACGGGGAATACATCTTCTATCATCTCAGACGTTTCAAAAAACCACATTTAGAATGAATGAAGTGGAAACGACATTGCTTGCCGCCTTGGCGGCCTTTGAGTGAATCTCTTAATATTTTCAATGTCAGTAAAATTCTCCTGTGCCGTATTGGGCATCGTTTCGGTACGGTTCGGTCAGCGCCTGATAGGTGGGCCACCCCATTTCCGCAACGCACTGTTGTGAAGAAGGTGGCCTACGTTGCCCCTGCCGGGCTGGCCAGCCGGAGCGTGTTTCAGTCGGAGCAGCCCTGGGCGAGTGGCCAGCCTCTGAGCGAAACGGAGTAGGCGCGTCTCTGTCATCCTCATGGCCACCCAGTGTGTGCGACAGAGGCTGAGAAACAACCCCGCAACAAGAGCGAGCCCGAGCCGTAATGGTAATGGCAAGGTAGGCCACCATCCTCGCACCGGCGCGTTGTGAGACTAATGCTGGCCTACCGGGCAGGCGCTACAGTCTGGTAAACGAGCCCAGGCGAAAGGCGGGGTAACTCGCGGGGGTGCTCGCATTGTCCCTATACCGTTTCGCTATAAGCTGGCCCTTTCCGAGGCTCTAGTGTGGCAGTGCGGGCGCACCACCGCGAGGACCGGGACGGAGGCCGCCGATTTTTCATGAGCGTGTGTGTGAGTGGTTTGAGACAAAATGTTGGCAGAGGAACTTCACAAAGTAAGACACCATGTAAAATTAAGTACAGAATATATATTTTCGATACCTCATGTCAAAGAGAGTCCTCAAAAATTGAATCATGGCCAAAATATTATGGTACATGAGTCTAAATTCAACTAAATTTGGTTTGTATGCAATTGTACAGTATCTTATTCCAATTATAAAAGACATTTTTTTAAAAATTCTCAGCCTTACACTAATAACAGGAAACAGCCATTAAATTGACCTTTTAGAAAAATGCAGATATTGATCACATTTATTATTTGGTGAAAAAACAAAACAACAAAACAACTACACTCTCCAGAAAACAATGAAAAGGTTTCAATTGACATCATAGATATAAAAACCATTGAAGCCTTATGCTCATTCAGATTTTTAGAAAACAGTGAGCCTGAGTTTTATTGTCGAACCAGTCTCATTACAGTTTATTGGATATGTGAGAGTATTGTTGATTTCAAGTCATGGTCAGTGGCACTGATTACTACTTTCAAAACACGTATGCAAACAATTATGTTGGAAAGAAAATACTAAAGAATACTTGCATAATTGCTCACTAATATCACAGGGAGTGTTTGTAAATAATACAAACATTGTTGGATCCAAATCACATAGGGGGAGAAACCACAAAATATGTGTCTTGGTATGTGACAACATGGAGTACAAAATTTCTACACAACTTTGACATTTATCTTCTTCACAAAATCTTCCTAACAAGTGTGTTTACTAACATACAAATAAGAAGTAATTTTTGGCAGCTTGCTCATAAGACTATCTCATACAAAAATATTATTGCTTAATGAATATACTCTGATTAAGGGTCAATCTAGGTAGGTTTCCACACACTTAATATCAAAGAGAAAGGAACAAAAACGAAAAAAAAAGAAAAGAAAGAGATGTCTTAAATAATTAATATTATTACAATATCTCACCTGATAAATGAATTCTGAATAAGCTCATTTTTGGTCTTCGCACAAGAAGGACACCTAATCTAAATAAAACTGTCTAAGAGAGGAAAGCATTTCCTCACAATCATGTAAATCTTCTGCATGTCCAAGTCCACAACTTTTTCAATTACAGTAATTGACATAAAATCATCTTTACAAAAATGTTTCTTTGGGGGGAAGTGGAATATCGACATGAGATTTGTATGGGGTACCATGTGATGAGGGCCAGTATGTAGCAAGAGATGTGATATGATCCACCTTCTTGTACCTATTTTTCTTGCTCTTCTTTCTTGAAATCCAGTGCAGTACTACTTTAAGCCACCGAGTTTCCGCAACAAAATTCTGTAAAATACAAACAATGCAATTGTAATTAAGATAATATTCACGTTTTCTTAACACAAATGAAATAACAATAGAAAGAATGAAGAATCCTATACCTCAACAGCAGCAGCACCAGCAAGATGAAGGATTGGGAGAGCTAGAAGCCACACTCGGAACCAATTCATCATATTTCCTGTATGTGTTCCACTCAGATCCAATGGTATAAATTCCATGTATTCAGCAATTGAGCCAATGGGATACACAAGCATTAACGTGGAAACAACCGTTAGCAAAGCTAGCATTCCCACTAAGGCAGCTGGAACAGAAATTTTGCAATAAATGGGCCACTAAAATTTTGTATTTATGAACAACTGGAGAAAATAGAAGCCAAGCAAGATTGATTGAAAACCTACGATTGGTATAAAACGGTTGCCTGAAAGGAGCTCCTTTGGAGTACACACCAGCTAATGCCAGATACTGAAAGCAGCTCACACAGTAAACTGCTGTGTTTTCCCAACAAACTACAACTCCTTCATCATCATCATCTGGCGTAATTACAACATGCTCATACCTGTAAAATAAGCAAACAATGTACTGAAAAGTGACAGCTGAGGATAGACTCTCAAAAAACATAAAACATTTTTAATGTGTAACTAACCAGGGCTGGATTTGTAGAAGTTTCAAAGCACTCCATTGCACACAGAAGCAAAGCATCACTTGCAGACCAAGGGGTACCAGATTAGTAAGAGACACTAAACTACCAACAGGTCTCCGGTGAGTAAGGCCAGGTGCTGGGCCCGTACGCCCAAGAGTGACAGCAAGAGTCGTTGTAATGCCAAGATCCACGAACAAAAATTCCAAATTACTTAGAGCTGCGCCCTCCTGTGTAAAAGCCAAAAACAACTGTAAGCTAAAGCACATTCAAGCAGAAAAAAAAGGGAAAAAAGAAAATCTTACAGAGTACAGAATCAGCACAGTTATAAACTGTATTAAAGAGTACATTGCCATGTACTTGAAAGTTTCAAAGCTTGTGGTGAGGGCACAGCGGCCCTCTCTAATGAGGCGTAGAACACAGGTTATATTAACTTCTCTCGATGTGAATGGAGCAGCCACAGAGGCTTCAGCTTCTGATAGTGATACACCAATATGAGCAGCTTTCAATGCCTGCAAATGGGGCATTCAGAATTACTGATAATTAACAGGAAAATTGTCTCAAACATGTTGCATTGTTGGACCATCTTTCTAAGCAAACAATTTAATTTTTTTAAAGTTCTTACCCCACAGTCATTGGCTCCATCTCCACACATAGCTACGACATAATCCATGGCCATCAGCTGCTCAACAAGTTGGGTCTTCTGATCCGGGGCCATGCGAGCAAATACTGTACCCTGAGTAATGACCGTTGGTAACAATTCTGGGAAATGCGATCGGAGAACACCCCAAGTGCGCCCATCCAATGCCAAATGGAAAGTGGCCGCACCACCACTCGACCACAGCACCTCCTAGAAACGCATGAGGGAGTTAGATGGCCACCTCAAAACACGTTTCTGCACACATTTTTAACAACTTTGTTAAATCTTGACACTTACAATTGGAGGAGGGTCACCATGCAGACATTGCAAAGAGACCTGCCCATTCCTTCCCGGATCTGGGGCAACAGCAGAAAGGATGAGTACAGACTCGGTGCGGTTAATCATACCGCAATCACGGGCTACACTCACTGCAGTCATCAAATTGTCACCTGGAAATTGAAAGACAAATGAGAAATATTTCTCTCAAAAAATTTCCCAAATCAATCAGAATGAAAATGCAAACATACCTGTCACCATTACACTTCGTATTTTGGCAGCTTGCAACTGATGCATTACTGGTGAAGTCTCAGGCTTCAAAGCATTCTGCATGATGAGTAGTCCTAGCAAATGCATATCCTTCTCAACCTAAATCATTAAAGTAATAAACATTCAATTTATTATTTAAAAACACAAATAATACTTCATGAAGATGACAAGAATCAAGCATCTAACCTGCTCTCTTTTGATACGTTGAGCTTTAGGCCATGTGAGCTTGGATTCTAATGGTTTGTATGCCAGTGCAATTACTCGATATCCAGATGATGTAAACTCAGACAAAACCTGAGAAAAATTATCTGGAACTTGAAAAACAAATGCATTTGAAATAAAAGAGGTGAAAGAAAAAGTTCTACCACCAAATAAAGTAATCTTACCAGTTTCAGGAATGCAAATGTTGAGAATTTTTTCAGGGGCACCCTTTGTGTACAGGGCCATATTTCTAACTCCTAAGGTTCTCACAATGACTGACATGCACTGCATTGTAGAGCTAAAAGGAAACTGTCGCATGATTCCTACTTCGTATGGTATCTGCAGAAAAAGTCAATTATTTCAAAAATTACAGGTGAAAAAAAAGAGCACGAGGGAAAACAAACATTTAATGCACTCTTACATCAAATTCCTCTTCAGCATTCCAGATAGCATCATCATCAGGTACCACCTAAAGCAGAAGTAAGATTTTTGTCATTTGGAAGTTGAGTTATAGTTTTGCAGGAAAAGAATCAATTAATTGAAGTGAGCAGCAGAGACCTCTTTTAATGGAGATGATTGAGAAGATGGTTGGGGTCGGACAACAGTTGGAGCCAACATATCATAACGAGTAGTATCATCTGCTCCTGGTTCTTCCAGCTCCTGTAGATGATATTATTCATACTCGTATAAGTTACACAAACAGTATGTCTGAATAGACTTAAAAGCTCAATAAATTTTGTATTCCAAAAAAAGAAACATTATTACAAACCCAATGAGTGGCTTCAAACATGCTCAGATCTAAAGGATCTCCACATAATTCATTATGGATTCTTGTGAGAGAGTGGCAACATGCCATGGCAACAAGAAGATGTGATTTGGTTGCCAGCTCAGTGGAAGGATTCCAAACAGGTTGTGTTGAGAATTGTTGATTTTTAATGGGAAGCACACCCCAAAAATGGAGCCCATCTTCTGTCAATGTCCCCGTCTGAAACAGACGCCTTATAAATTTCATTTCATGAAACACAACAATACGTTATAATTCAGTAATCAAGTGTTTGCTTACCTTGTCAAAGCATATCATTTTTATTTTGCCACATACATTGATACGTGGAGGAGATATGCAAAATATGCCCTTCTTCTTTAAACGAGCTTGGGAGAACACAGTGCCTGCAGTCATGGCAGCTGGTAAAGCAGGAGGAACTACTATTGTAATGATATCTAGAGTTCGAAGAGCAATAGTACTACCACTAGCCTGAAATTGTTACCAAAAATTAAATTTAAGTAAATTATCCTAACAAGAAAGGGTATGTCACACAAGTTACTTAGAGCAATTTATTCTAGTAAACATACCTCTCGCTGCACATACAAATACACGCAGTATGACATACCAAACGCAGCCAAAACAAAGAGGAAAAGCACAAATTTCAAAGAATCCTCATAAAATCGAAAGCCCATTGGCTTAGGGAACATGACCGAACGTAGTAGTTCTCCTTTAGATGTGGAAAAGCCAGTGCGAATCACCAAAGCTGAAACCTAAGAAGCCAAGCATTAGGTCAGTAATTAAAACATCCAACCCCTGAACACAATTTTAATTCAATGATACTTGAACAGGTTCAAAAGATGTTTTCTTATGCAAATACAAACCTGGTGGTTACCGTAGTACCTTGTTTGAATAACGTGAGTCCCACAGAACAGTGTATGACGGCGGTGAATATTTGGATCATAAGTTTCATCACTGTGAGGTGGTGGTGACTTTGTTACTGGAGCACTTTCCCCTTAATCGGACAATAATGGAAAATTAGAATGACAATCCACATGAAGTTTCTAAGGCATTTGGTATAAAAGGAAGAATGAAAATTAACCTGTTAACATGCTTTCATTGACAATACATGTTCCAGCCAAGAGAATTGCATCACAGGGCATAAAACAGCCATCAGAAGGAACCAGAATGACATCCCCCGGAACCAAGCATGATGTATCTACATCCTCGCACTCTGCAAAAAAAATATTATGGTAAGAAAAAATGTACATACGGAGCCATTCAAAATTAATTCCTTATTACCACACTTTTACCTCCATCTCTGCGGCACACTTTAATGCGGCTACAGTTTGATGCTTCAACAAGGTTTCTTAAAGCCAGGCTTTGCTAAAGAATGAATGAGATGATTAATATTCATACCAAATTGTGAATCTTGTGAATAATGCTGATACATAAAACTTAACCAGTTAAAAATTTTACATACCCTCTTGGTTTGAACAAGGGATGCAGTAACTGACACGGCAGTGAGAAAGAGAACACAGGCTGCGTAGTAATAGTATTCATCTGCTGACCAAAGCATAATACTGAATGCTTGGAACAGATAAAAAGGGTTGAAAACTTCACTGATGAATAAACTCCAATAGGACTTCACTTCCACTTCCATATGGTTTGGTCCATATAGTTCTCGGCTGTAAAATGAGGATTTGGTAGAAATTTTAGTAAACAATGTCCACAGGTACAAATTTTACTTGTTACAAGAGAATTGTTAACATACAGATTGTCCTGTTCTTGTTTGGTAAGTCCCTCAGCAGAATCCAAAACAGAAGCAAGTGTCATCTGTGCATTTGAGAGTCCTCTTAACCTTTGGAAACCTTTGCCATTCGTCCACACAAACTGCAAAAGCCGATGTGTGAAGATTCGAGCATTTTCTGCAATTGCTGAGCTAGGCCGCAGATGCGACATTAACTGCACCTCATGCAATGAGCAAACTCCATGGCTGTCCTGAAAAATAAAGTTAAGCATACCTTGCAGTCTTTTACATAAAGAATAATAAATGATAGCTGACCAAAGACTCAATAATCTAATATCAAGTCCAGAGCCAAATATAGACATTTTTAAGATTTTGAGAAGATGCACATGCATACTTACTCGTACGAGGACAAGAGTTGCAGAATCAAGGCTGCATTGTTTGTAGCGTATTCCAGCAAACTGTGGATACCACGACAAAAGTAAGGTTGGAGTTCCGATGAAAAGAAGGGATGTTATCCAGTAGATCCAAGATCGAAGGCTGTCATGTTGGTATCCGAAGCAGTGGATGAATTCTCCATCCTCCGAACCGATTTCAATCTGCTGATGAGAGAGAGAACGCTCCAAGCGCTCGTATCCATGGTGGAAGCTTCCTGAAAGGTCACCTCTCTGTCTACAGATACTGTAAAGTCCCCAGTCACAGATAAATATTTACTGTGGATGACCTCTTGATACCTTAGCACTAATGATTCTACTTTCATGCATTGTGTTTATTGTATTTTGAAAAAACACAAGGCTTGAACTCTTTGTACTAAGATACCAAATGTCGAACTATGCAGAACTAAGAACCAATCATAAACTAAAAGCATTTTAAAATTCATTGTTTTCCAAAGGGGTATAAATTATTGTTTGTCAAATACGTAAGTAACTATACAAAGCCTCCAAAGTGTTATTCTGGTAAAATTTAGATTTGTGAAGAAGAAAACAACCCACCGACACTGGGCAAAATTACTCTGTTATGATTGATCTCTGCATGACAGTAAATATTACAAAAACAGGAAACAATCTAGATTACTAAAATAAAATAACATACTCTCTTCACCACTCATTTCCCCACAATGTTACTGCTCATGGAACTACTGGCAACACTTCTTCAAGTGATAGCTTTAGGATGAGGCAGAGATCAAGAGAAAAGCAGTTCAGAATAAATCCTTGCTAGGCAAATAAACACACAGTATCATGTCACGAGCTGAGGTTACATTGTTTAATTAGATAGACCATGACCATGAGCATGAGTATGAGAGTATGAGAGTGTCCCTTGCCCCTTGTCCTATGGCAAATTTGCAGTGTTATGTAATGGAATCGATGGCACAGCTTACCACTTAACCAAGCAAAACCTTGCATCTAGATCCCACGTTGACAAAGGAAATCTAAAATATTTGTTGTCAGCAGTCCGATAGTTAAAAATAAAGTCTGTTCTGCTCCGACGTGAGGGGATACGGTGTGTGGAAAATGTTGGGGCTCGTCAGAGGCGATCAAAGATTCTGCGAAAGTCGATTCCGTGGACCGCAGCAGCACCGTGTCAACCCATTCCTCGGGACAGACTTTGGCAACTTGGGTGACATGCCTCGGCAAACAGCCGCGCCACGATAAGGTGCCATCCCTCAGCCTCGGCTCAGATAAAGCAGAAGCAGACGACAGTTGCGGAGAGCAGACACTTGCGAAAGGGTGCTGTCCAAAAGCCACATTCTGGAACTACGTACCGGCGGTCATAACGAATTCCGAACCGAAAGCGCAAGCGCCCTCGGCCCTCGTGCCCCTCGCCCCTCCCCCCTGCGTCCAGCGTGAAACAGCTGTGACAGCCAGAGCCAGAGCAGCCAGGCGAGGCGGGCGAGACGAGACGCAGCAGACAACCTCGGCCTCGGTTCGTGGAATTCATGTCAAGTTGATTCATAATCAGAAACTCAAGTTTGTTTTTATTTTTCCTGCTGTTGAGTTTAAGGTAAACTACACTTACAAGAAATGCTCAGAGCATGTCAACGGCCTGATCTGTCCAAAGGGATGTTATTGCTAGAGCGACTAACCTTATCTTCTGTTCGTTCTTGACTACCGTGCTGTGCCTCTCGTCATTATCTATAATTCCTAGGGACGTTTTCTTGTCCTCTTTTTATGAAGATATACGACGGATGTAGTCTATCTGGTTTTGGTCGCTCTATTAGTATTTGATTCCAAAGTACATTGAGTTGTATTGAAAGGATAAATGTGCTACTCTTTACTTAATTGTTTTTACAACCTGGGACATGTTGTGATTTTATTTTAAGGTAAAAATGCTTATTTTGTCATCAAAACTCAATAGTAATTTAAAGAATTGTTATTTTTCTTGAATTTTAAAGGCATAGCTTTGCTGGCTGTGGTTTGCCCACTTCTTCCGCACTTTTCCATTTTTGCTCCATTGAGCTTTTAAATTATCGCTCTGTTAAGTTAACTTAGTTCTTGTTCTATCAAATTACAAGAAGCATCTATTGCATCACATTAATACGGGTTTAAGGAATCTCAGAATGTGGCCGATGGTGTCCCAAAAGTTATCCGTTCCTTGCCATACGATTCTGGCTGGGAGCACACTGGCTGCATTCAAGCAGCTGTTATTATTCTATTTTTTTTTTAAACGTATTGCCATTGTACTTACTTGTTGATTGCTGGTGGGTGTGCACAACTGGTCTTCCATGTCACTACTAGTTCTTGATCTGTGTTCTGGTGGGGATGTGGGGCCCTAGGCTTTCTCTTTATCTGCAAGTGTTCAGTCTTCATCATTCCCTCCAAATGGACCAAGCAAGCAGCTTCTCTCCTCTCTTTACACACTCTGTTCCCCCTCCACTACAGTCTTGGCTTTACCTGCTATAATTTGTCCCCCCCCCTCCCCTCCTCTCCTTCCCTCGCGCCGTGCGGTTCGTGCGAGACCTGCGGGACCCTCCTCGCCCTCATCCCCCTCGCATCCCCTCCTCTCCTGCCGCCCCCCGCTGCCCCCCTCCCGTCGTGTACCGCCCCTACCATTGTCCCCCATTTTCCCCTCGCCCGCACTCTGTCAGGCAGTTGAGTCATAGTCCCCCCCTTCCCCCTTCCCCCGTCCCCCCCTTACTATCCTTCTGACCTGTCTCGTCCCCGTTTCCTGCTGGTTCATGAGTTCGTGACTCAGAAAGGTTCTGCAAGCGCGCTCCTGCTATCTCCCGCTCATTCTTGACTCGGTCTTGAATTTGCTCTCTTTGAATTTTGGCACCAAATTTCCGTCGGACTGCTGGTTTCGAATTGAATTTCGACAGTCCGTTTTGCACTTGACGCCTCTCCCCCTCCACCTCACACCCCTTGCATTCCCTGGTCTAAGTGATGAAATTCCTCGGGTTCCAATGGTTCCATTGCGGGGTGCCGCCAGCGCCACCGCACCGCTGGCGGGTCCTGCCCCGCCTCCAGCCACAGAGCCGCAGACAGAGCAGAGCAGAGCAGGCAGGACCTCAGAGGCACAGGCGAGGAGGAGAGGGCCAGGGCCAGGGCCCCACAATGAGCTTCAAGTTGACCTCTGCCTCTCAATGCACCTGTGGGTTGTGTATAAAGGGGGCATAGGATTGCCGTGGTCGTTCTTTAAAAACATTGAATTAGGTTTTCATTTGCTTTGCAGGGTTACAGCATGCAAGATGTTATGCCTGAAATGGCGCCTACAGATATGGGAGACATTGCAGTTGACAACCTTTACCCTGCCTTGGTGGAGTGCTTTGCAGTCATCCTTTGTGGGTAAGTTTTTGTGTGTGGACTGTCAGATCAGTGAGAAAAATTCATGGCCCATTTTGGGAGTCTGACTATCAAAAGCATGCATTTTTCAATTCCTTACCTGCAGATAAATAGTGAATTAAAAAATTAAATAAGTGTTAAATAGAATGAATATATTTTTCCATATTTCAGCTATGTTGCCGGGAGACTAGGAATATTACCACAATCAGAAACTAAAGGCTTAAACACATTTGTGGCAAATTTTTCCTTGCCATGTCTCATTTTTGTGTCTATTGCCAAGTTGGATCTCTCATCAGTAAATTGGACATTCCTTTTGGCAGTACTGATTGCAAAAGCAGTGGTGTTTTTTGGAGTGGCAGCTATCACCCTTCTGGTATGTCGTTTGTGAAGTGTTCTTTGCATCTCTGTATTTTTGGTTCTCTAGTTATTTGTATCTCACTACTTACTCAAGTGTCTCACTTTCTCACATAATTTTTCAGGTGAGTAGACCAGTAAATTTATCGAAAGCTGGATTGTTTGCCATCTTCTGTACACAGAGCAATGATTTTGCTATTGGTTATCCCATTTGTAAGTTTGTTTATCCTTTTATTTTTCTTCTAAGTGTGATTTTATTTTGAGATTCCTGAACATTTCTCTTTCATTCTCTCTCTGCAGTGGTCGCTCTCTACAAGGATACACACCCAGCGTACCCAAGCTACTTGTACCTAATGGCTCCCATATCTCTAGTCATTTTAAACCCATTAGCATTTATTTTATTGGAGTTGGGGCGTTCTGAATCCCCTTTAACAAACTCTGACTCCACTGACGCCCCTGAAATGAGGGCTCCAGGAACCGGTGGCTATCAAGAGAAATTGAAAATGATATGGCAGGTCATAAAAGGAATAGTCCTTAACCCAGTTGTGTTCATGACAGCCCTTGGTATTGTAGGCAACTTAGTATTCCATCACGAACTTCCCACCTTTTTGTCTAGAATTTTAGAGGTATGTCTATAGTATCATCTACTGATGGAGCTCCTGTTTTAATCTGTTTTTAAACCTGTAGGATCAAGATTATTTTCCTAATACCTTCTTTTAAAATTAATTAGGTGTTTGGTTCTGCATTCACCGCTACTGCACTCTTCCTTCTTGGTCTGAGAATGGTTGGAACAGTGCAGAAGTTGCAAGGGGCTGCATTGATAACTCCGGGCTTGCTAATTGCTGTCAAATTGTAAGTCCTGCTGCTCCCAATTTATTTGACTAATGTCCAGTTATTTAATAATTCTTTTTCCTTGTTCTCCAGATTGGCTCTTCCACTCATCACTCGGGAGGTGGTTTCTGTCATTCATGCTGGAGTGAATACCAGTGATACAGAAGACCTCAGTACTTATGGGTTTCTGTATGGCACATTCCCTGCTGCACCTGGAGTTTTTGTATTTGCAACCCAATATGGGGTGGAAATGGAATTGGTTAGTAAGTTTTGGACATGTTTAGTCATATCAATTGACTATTTTCTTTGAAAGTTTGAATATTTTTTTGTTCACCCCTACAGATTGCCAGTGCTATGGTTGTGTGCACCTTTGTATCAGCTCCTTTGATGTTTGTTTCGGCTAAAATGATATCCTTATCATCTATGTTGCCACCAGACTTTGTCAAGCAGCTAAATTTGTTTGCTTTTGACATAGGTATTGCAAGTGCTATTGCAAGTGTAAGTTGTTTCCCTAAATACTATTACTAGTCTCTCTTATTTTTTTTTTCTCCTGTGTTTTTACGGTTTTTTTGTAAAATTCCCTCAGGTATGGCTGGTAGCAACGTTTATTTTCTGCTCCAAAATAAAGCGGATCCCACATCGGATGACTGTTTGCCTCATAATTTCGCAGGTTATTGCCTTTGTCATCTTTTGCCTCGAATTTTAAATTAATATAAGGAAACATTTACCATTCATCTACTTTCTGTTTGCAGCTCATAGCAAGTGTTGGTGTAATTCTTAGCCAGTCTTTGGGTTCTGAAATGTGGCATTTGAGGCTTCAATTTGCAGTCTACACTATTGGAGATCTCAGTTCAAGATTGTGGGCAGGTTTCCTCGCCATTGGGCTTCTGCTCTTACAATCTCGTAGTCTTTGTCTTGTCATGCGCTTGCAACTAGTTTTCATCTTGTTAGCATGGGGGTAAGTTCATCTAAGGTTTACATTATTTTTCATGTTGCCTATTTTCAAAATATTTTTTGTTGCAACCATTCTTGGTTGACAAACTTTTTTTTTATTGATTAAATTTTTTAAAAATTTAAAAAAAAAATGCTATCTTTCTTACAGTGTCCCAGCTTTGATTGTGTTGATACTGCTGCTAGTTGGAGACCCACTGGATAAATCTTCCATGGAAACTCCAGATTTCTTTAATTTATATGGTGACCTCCACTCAGCAGTCAATCTTGCTGTATTATTTCCCTCTTTCATAAGTAAGTCACCAATAAAATAAAGTCCAAAGTATGTGTTGAGAAAAACCTCTAATGAAGCAATATGTCTTCAGCCACTGTTTTCAGCTTGGCTCTACATCAACGCTATGAACGGCGGTTTGCTCGTTATCTCCTTCTTGTTCAAGATGTGAATGATAATGAAAATAATCAGAACAATGTGACCAGTTCTGAACGCTTTTCACCAGGTAGCCCATCAAATTTGGTATGCTTTGTGTTTGGTGTATTTCTAGAAATTCTAATTTTATCTTGTCTTTTTAAGGAAATGACAATAGTATCAATAGCAGCAATCAAGTTGTTGACATTGAAGATATTAGTACAGAACACGGTCGTATACTGCAAAATGTTGGCCCCAACACTGCCAGGTGAGAATGCCATCATTGCCCTCTTGATCTCCTAACATGTTCCTTCAGAATTATTGCTTCATTCAGTCTTTCTTGTCCTACAGGTTGCCACCTTGCCCAGGTGATATGTGTCCCTCAAGATTCGAGTGCAGTACCGCGCGCCGAGCAGATTGCCTTAAACTGGTCCAAGATTATCATAACCAACTGTCTGAAGAGCAAGAGGATAGACAAATACAAAGGCATCAAGTAGTGCTCATGATACTTTCGTGTTCAATGTTTCTTGTAAGGAGCAAGTAAAATGCTGATTTGTTAAGTTAGCAGAACAAGTAAAGAATCAGATTGTTGAAACTCTTTCGTTTTGTTCACAGGGCATGGCTGTGTGTACTTGGAGATTGGTCAGATTGGACAACTTAACTGGCATTTATGTTGAGTTAGCTTTCCTAGACGTTGCTTTAAACCAAGGTCAAGGCCTCCTTCTGCTGGCTGTGTTTGGCCTTCATTCTAAAGCAATGATCTCACCTGTCATTAATTTTTTCCGAGGAATGTGGGCTACTGATGTGCAAGAAATTCAGTTGCCAGCTTGGGACAAATTAGAGTTTGAAACTAGACATGTTTGTGACCAATTCATTACTCACCATCTGGAAGTTTGTCGTGCTGCTATTTCAAAAGATAAAAGGTATACTGCTTGGATCTGGTCCCTGTCTCTCTTTAAAGAGCAGAATTTTACGCTCGTCTAGATTTTTGAACTAATTTCTGTTTTTAATTTTTAGATGGCTATTTCGAAAGTACCACCAATGTTTCAAAGCTTCGGAATTAATAGACTGGCTCCTCAGCGCTGATGTTGTCAAGAATCGTGAAGAAGGTGTGGTATACTGTAATCACTTAGTTCAAGGAAGAGTAATCCGAAATATTGGTGATTCTCAGCACTTCCAAGATGCGCCATTACTCTACACCTTTCTACCACCCCCATCAAGCAACATTCCCTTTGATGGATCAGATAGTTTTTAACTGCTTGTGTTAGGAATGGGTACTGGGGAAGCTTAAGAGACTTTGTTGTTTTCAGACTGTGCTAGGCCAAAGAGTTTTGTGAGCTTGTTGGGTAAGGCACCTTTGTGATATGTCTAAATCTGTTACTGTGTGTTTATTTTAATTTATTATTGTGGCCTGTGAATGAACATTTGATAAACGTATCCCCAATCAGAATCTCAGTCATACATACTATTTATAATATCTGATGTAAGGGATTAAAAATTGAGAGTATGCCTCCAGTTTTGTCTGAGTGGAACTTAATGTAGAACAAAACACTGTTCTGATCAAATATTCTTATATAGAGCACAAAAGAAACAGTCCAGTATTTTCTTTCTCTGCAGGAACGTACTTAATTATTGTAAAGTTAATTCTCACATTTTTTGAAGTGAAAACAAAGGAATACAAGTAAGTTGTGCTTGAATTTAGAATGGATGAATGAAAGCAGCACATGATTTTACCGCTGTCTACTAATCTTGATTCATTTTTAAAGGCAGTTTTAGCAATTACATTTTAAGTGCAATACGCTTTCTCATTTTCATGCCTGTGTTACATGAATTTTAATTGCTGTTTTTATATTTTCTAATGTTCGTGGAATGATGAATATTTTTTAAAAATATGTTATTGCTTATTGTGATGCTGTGAGTTAGCTAGTATTTGATATAATTGACTGTGATTTTAATGACAAAGAGTTGAAACAATGTTTTTGTGAGCTTCTTATCTTCATGCTTCGGTATGTAGGGTAATTAGTTTTTATTTACCTATTCTGGTCTCATTATGCTACCATGTTCTGTAAAGTATGTTTACAAATAATACCTTATACTAGCTCTGTCTTAAATCATTTCAGAGTAATAGTATGTTTTTATTTGTTCCAATCTGAACAATGCTTACCATTTGATTATGTATAGCATATACTCAAGTAAATTATCTCTCTCTTGGTCAACTCTATGTGGAGTGAAATCTGATAATTATCTTCTTATTCCCTCTTTCCATAAATTATTTGCTGAGATAAGTTCTGAAAGTCATGTTTCAACACCTGTAGTTTTGTTTTAAGGAATGTCACATGAACGTTTTATTCCTTGTATCTGAAAAATAAATATCATGTCCTATTTATGAACCATTCATTACTGTACCCTCCTCCCTCTGTTAGATAACCTGGCAGACAAGCTGCAAGAATAACTACACCCAGCAATTGCTACGAAAATCGGAACAATTTTGTTTTTTGTTATACATGGGGTAGATGTGGGGAAGGCCACCTGCATGGCCACTTTTTGAAACCGATGATGCCAAGCGACCGTGAGTTAGTCCGAGCATTTCGTTTCACACGTTCAACAATAAGCACACCCGCGAACACACACGGTTTGCTCGGACCGGACGGCCGGCCCCGCCACGAACCACCTCACCTCTCCCATCCCGGCACCGCCCCCACCCGCCCGCCGCCCCGCCTCGCCCCGCCTCGCCCCGCCTCGCCCCGCCTCGCCCCGCCTCGCCCCGCTTCGCCCCGCGCCTCGCGAGGGGCCCCCCCTTCTCTTGTCTCTCGCAGTCGTGCGCTGCTCCCGACGCCGGCCGGTTGCTTGGTCGCGGCTTCGGCTTCGCGCCCTCCTACCTCCTCGCGCCGGCACCGGCATCTCGCCGACAAGCCAACAAGGCCCTCGTGCTGGACACTCCACTCCGGACAATCGGCAGTGCGCGGTGACGGTGACAGCGGCGTGTGATTAGCGTGACGGTGCATCTCGCGCTCCCGGACAGCCACGCGTGGGCGTGCGTGTGTGCGTGCGTGTGTGAGCGAAGGAGTGGAACAGTGAGTGCACACGGGGTCGCCCCTCCACGCCTGGACCCTGGACGACACCGCCCTGCCTGCCTTGCCTTGCCTGTGTGGTGCGCGCGTCAGCGCGTCAGCAACGAGGTACGTGAGCCCCGCTTCGCTCCGCTTCGTCCGAGACCGGCAGGCCGGTACCGGCACGAGGACGCAAGTTCGGGCAGGCGCATAGAAATGACACCGATGCAGCGTCTCTGTGGGCAAGTCCGTTGACACAACCTCAGTCCAATCACGGTGTTGCGGTCATCCCCGGCACTGACCGGTTAGGTCTCGTGACTCTCATTTTGAGAGTCCGCAGTTGCCTTTTTCTTCACCGGTTAATCGGTGTTAATTAAATTGAACGAGCCTCCACTACAATAAATACGACGGTCGCAGTTTGCAACACGCTGAGGTCAAAGTTCACCCCCGCTCCCTCCCGAGCTTGGTCGGTTACAAACTAGCAAAACAAACAAATAATTTCCACGAAACAAGTGTCATGATGGAATTCCAACAACTTTTAAATGCGTGTGCGGGGAAGTCTCGCCGCCGCGCCATTCCAGCCATTCCGCACTGCGACTACTACACCCTCAGGGACAAGAACGGGGCGGGAGTTTGGGCGCCCCCCCGAAAATGACAGCAATAACCGCGGGATGTGGAATTAGCGTGTTTCTCAGGAGTTACTCGGGCCTTTCGCCCCGCGCCCCGCCCGCCCTCCCCTCGCCTTTCCGGCCCGCCTCCGGGCGCGCGCGTGCCGGGCCGCAGCGACAACGCACCCGACCCAGCGCACCGAGGGCCGCGGGCCGCGGGGGCCTGCATGGGGCTTATCGCGGGGCGCCGCCGCAGCGCAGCGCGCACCGCGGATCCACGGAGATGATATCACAGTGCGTGGCCCCACGCCCCTCGCGTTGGGGCGGGCCAGGCGGGCCAGGCAGGCCAGGCGGGCCAGGGTGGCGGGCAAGTGCACATTACCGACGCCTCGACGCCCTACCGGCCAGGCCGGCCACCACCGGCGCCCCTCACACCGGACGCCCCGGCGGGGCGGGGCTGTATTTTAGGAAGACCAAAACACTGCAGAGATTTCTAACGGCATCACAGGGAACATTACTCGGGCACATGACCGTCGCTGAAAGCGACTATTTTTGCCTGTGGATTTAGATTGTGTGGGTGTGACCTGGTGGCTGGCACTTGACACTGTCTCGCCTGCGCTTGCTGCGCTTGCCGGACACGACGCCCCGTCGTTCAAGTCGCCAAGCGCCGCCGCAGCCGCCACCCTCCCGGAAGCCCGGCGGAAGCGCTCTCCGTCGCCAGCTTCGCCAGCAACCCTCCACGGCACGCCTAGACTTGGCCTAGACAGCCGCAGCGCGCCGACCGTCGTCTCGGCATGGTTGCCGCAATCGTCGCACAAATTTGCAGATTCGTTTTCCGAAAGCCCAGCCGCGGCCGTTTTATGAATTAGTTTTTCGGCAGTAGTTGTGGCTGGCGACCTTTTCTTTTCCGCGTTCGGAGAGCGCCGTACTCAGCACCTTCCCCGACACAGTTTCCTGGTCGTTGAGCCCGACTCGAATTACTGCAGAGCGAGCAGAGAGAATCTGGTCCGAAAAGGAACACAGGAGCTCGTAGTCTGCCTTTCCTTTCCCCGCTCGCCGTGAGCGTGTGTGTGTTCGCGGCGTTCGCAGCCAGACTGGGCCGCGCCGCCGCGCTTCAGCGACCCGCTAACGACATTCCCTGGAAGTCGTATAACGAGGCCGAGCGGCCCACACCGAAAGGCCTAAAGGGTGTCGGACGCAGACAACTTTGTTTCTTGAAACCCAGAGGCTCCCTCTGTGTATTCCCTGCCTCCTGCACTGCGAGGCCCCGGCCCAGGGCCCGGCCCTGTCCAGGGCAGATTGAGTCCGTACGGAGCGGCTAAACTGGGACTGGGAACTGAGACCCGCCCCTTGTACTACAGCTCCGTGCAGCGTCCAACAGTCAGACTGTTGTCTGCCTTGAGTTTTCGCGCCTTGACGGTGTGCTTGCTCGTTCCAGGATGGCGTCCACGCCGCCGCCACGAGGCTGATGTGACCCGGAGAGGCGCATTCGCATCCAGGTGATCCAGGTCCCGCAGCCAAGCGCGCCATGCAGCTCTTGAGGTGAGTGAGTGGGAGTGGCCCCGTCCATCTTGTCCATCAACGCGCAACTGCGATCCACTCTGTCTCTCTCGCACCCCCGGGGCGCCGCGTCGGAGTGCGAGAGAGACAGAGCGTCTAAGCCGGTCTAAGCCCTGCTGGCCCGCGGCGTAAATGTCACGCATGAGGCCTGCCGTGCCTGCCGAAGCCCCTCGCACAAGTTTCCAGAAGGCGCGGCGGCCGCGGTCCAGAATGGCCTCTTCTCCGGCCCTCCTGCCCCGAACAGCGCGCAGGCCCGGTTCGAATCCCGGTTACTTCACATTTCCCACCGCGGCAGCGCCGAGCCGTTTTCCGTAGGGCTTGAATTTCAACGTCAGCCTTATTTTTCGCCGTTTGGAAATTTTGTGGCAATCAGCGGGAGTTGAACCGCTGACCTTTGGTGCCGCTGTCGAGGAGCTATGTCATTCGGCCGTGCGACGTGACATGTCTGCGCCGCGTAAACACTGAACCCGGCGGGGTACCACACTGCACGAGGCTCGCGAGGCGGGTGTGCGTGGCCCGAGCGCTACGAGCTACAATAAGCGCTACACGTTACACGCGCTGCAAGCTTCAAGCGGCGCAGTAAAGCCCGAAGCCTGAAGGGCAAACGTGGCCGGCTCCGCCGGGCTCCGCCGCCAAGACGCCAATTTCCTCCGGCGCCCTGCTCGCCCTGCGCGCCCTGCTCGCCCTGCTCCTGCCCGGCGAGCTGCTCGGCTAATGTTGTTTGAATGGCGGCATGGCGGCGACGGCGAGGGCCTCGGAGGCCGCGAGCGTGGCTGGGCCAGGCTAGGCCGTCAGGCGGGCTTTTGTTCGAATCCGCGTCTGCCCCCGGGCCTTGGCGTCGCTACGCTGCGCGCTTCGCGGTGCTTCGCGGTGCTTCGCGGCGTCGTGTGGAAAAGAGGCCCGGTCGGCCGGCCGGCTGGTCTAGGGTGGGCCTGGAATGCTCACAATGACGTCACGGCGTCACGGCCACGGGCGTGGTGGTGGTGACGGCGACGGTGACGACCTCCTAGAACACGGCGGCGGCGGCTGGCGGCGTCATCCATCGTGGCGGCCGCGGCCCGCGGCGCGTGGCGGTGATAAAAGTTATTACAACGTCCGCGTCGCCCTCGCCCTGCGCCGCCCTGCGCGGTGCGTTTTGATATTCACGGCGAAGGCGGACTGGCGGCCGGTGGCAGCGCCGAGGATTTTTCATTTTCTTCCCCGTTTCGGCAGCGGCGCGCTCCTCCGAGTAAGGAGTGGCCGGTCCGGGCCTAAGTGGGAGCCGCCGGGACCCCGCGGGGGAACCCACGGGGGAACGCACGGAAACCCGGGGACCCTCGGACGGCCAGCGGGAGGTTATTCTGATGCCGCGGACAGTAAAGTAAATTACTCACACCCGCGCAGGCAGCGCAGGCAGCGCGGGCCCGCCGGGCCGGACATGACCGACGAGACACGGCGGCCGGCCGGCCGGTCCGCGAGGCCCCCGCCGTCAAGCCCGCCGTGGACCGAGGGTCCCCAAGTGATGACGACATCGCCCTTGTTGTTGTTGCCGCGGTATATCTTGACCGGGCTCGGCCCGCCCGGCGTGCCCGTCGAGTGTGTATAACCGCCGGATTGCCTATTTACACGAAAACTCGCCTTTTTTACGAGCCGGGCGCGGCTGGCGCGGTCAGTGCGAGACCGCGTGGAGCGTTGATGTGTGTATGTGTGTGTAGGGAGGGGGGCTCGGCGTCGACGTCGTGAGTGTGAGTCTGGTGGCGTCTGGGAGGGCTATCGCTGCCATCACACTGCCTGTCATCCCCGCCGACAGGGTGTAACGCAGTGGTTCTCAACCTTAGGGTCGCGACCCCAAGCGGGGTCGCGAAATTTTTTTAAGGGGTCGCGGCGATGCTGGGGTCGTGTTTTAGGCCGATTTTAAGCAGACACTGCGTCTGATCCGAGGCGGGCATTTTGCTCCCTCAACGGGCAATCGGTCTTTGGACCTTCCTTTAGCATGCCTTTGTTACGGAGTGCAATTATCAGTCTTAGTTTGGGAGCAGTATTGTCTCAAAGTTGGCCGAAACGCTCAGAAATGTCTGAAAAATCGTGTTTTGGGCCGATTTTAAGCAGCCACTGCGTCTGATCCGAGGCGGGCATTTTGCTCCCTCAACGGGCAATCGGTCTTTGGACCTTCCTTTAGCATGCCTCTGTTACGGAGTGCAATTATCAGTCTTAGTTTGGGAGCAGTATTGTCTCAAAGTTGGCCGAAACGCTCAGAAATGTCTATGAAAAATCGTGTTTTGGGCCGATTTTAAGCAGCCACTGCGTCTGATCCGAGGCGGGCATTTTGCTCCCTCAACGGGCAATTGGTCTTTGGACCTTCCTTTAGCATGCCTTTGTTACGGAGTGCGATTGTCAGTCTTAGTTTGGGAGCAGTATTGTCTCAAAGTCGATCAAAACGGTCGCAAGTGTCTTTGAAAAATCGTTGTGACTATTTTGGTCAACTTTGAGACAATACTGCTCCCAAACTAAGACTGATAATCGCACTCCGTAACAAAGGCATGCTAAAGGAAGGTCCAAAGACCAATTGCCCGTTCAGGGAGCAAAATGCCCGCCTCGGATCAGACGCAGTGGCTGCTTAAAATCGGCCCAAAACACGATTTTTCATAGACATTTCTGAGCGTTTCGGCCAACTTTGAGACAATACTGCTCTCAAACTAAGACTGATAATTGCACTCCGTAACAGAGGCATGCTAAAGGAAGGTCCAAAGACCAACTGCCCGTTGAGGGAGCAAAATGCCCGCCTCGGATCAGACGCAGTGGCTGCTTAAAATCGGCCCAAAACACGATTTTTCAGACATTTCTGAGCGTTTCGGCCAACTTTGAGACAATACTGCTCCCAAACTAAGACTGATAATCGCACTCCGTAACAGAGGCATGCTAAAGGAAGGTCCAAAGACCAACTGCCCGTTGAGGGAGCAAAATGCCCGCCTCGGATCAGACGCTGTGGCATGTTAAAGGAGGGGTCCCGTGGGGTCGCGAAATTTTTCCTGGGGGTCGCGGAAATTTTTGGCCTCAAATTTGGGGTCGCGAGCCGAGAAAGGTTGAGAACCGCTGGTGTAACGTCAGCCGCCCCGCCCGGATCCGCCCTTCGCGGTGCTCGGCCCTGCCCGGCGGTGCGGAGCGGATCAAGCAGTGCCTCGCGAGGCGCGAAGTCTGCCGGCACCGCGGCAAGGCCCTGCACTGCAGCGGCCTGCACTCCGCTGGTCCCGTTGAGTCCTCCGGCCGCGCCGTGGCTCCACTGTCAAAAGAAAGGCCCGCGTGGAGGTCAGAGGTCGACGCCGGTGCGGTGCGGCACGGCGTGTGGGGGCCCAGGCCGGCCCGCCCCTTACCGCGGCGCCGAGCCCGTCCCGGCCGGCCCAGCCCATACACGCCGCACGCCGAAGAGTGGAGTGGAACTCGAGCTGCATTCTCTCCGGAAATTAAAAAGGATAAAACGGCAGCGCTAGTTTATTTGCGAAAGGCGCGAGGGGCGGCAAGGCGGCAGCGAGATGGACCGATGAAAGACGCGCCGCGCCCCGTCCCCAAGCCGTGCAGATGCCTCCCATTTGCCACACTTATTCGCACGTTGCGTCGCCGGGTAATAAATGAAGCCGTCACTGCTTGCGCACGCCCCGCCCCGCCACGCCTTGTCCGGCTGGACGTGCTAAGTGCCCCATCGCCGACCCGAGCCGCGCTGATGTAATCAAGTGAGCCGGCCCGCCGTGCCGCCTGAAGCCTGAATGGCCCATTGAACGGCGTGCAACAGCTGATGTTGTGCAGAAGTCGCCCGCCCAGTAGTCCAGAGCGCTGTGCTGCTAGACGTGGTGGTTGTCGGCGGCCGCGGTGACTGACGGGACGGGACGGGACGGGACGGGGTGTCATGGCACCTTCGGTCTTGGCGCGCGTCCCCCTCTCCCTCCCTCCCGCGCGCGGGGCCGGGTCCGGCAACCCTCTGTTTCCCGCTGCAACCCTTGTGGATTCACAGCAGTGGATGACAGAAAGTAATGCTTGTCGAAAGGCCTCGCCCGGCGCGCCTTTAGCGCCGCTTGGCTTCCCCTTCCGAATTATGCAAAGAAGCAAGCGCGCCGTCCGGCCTGCCCGCGGGTCGCCGCCCGCCGCATCCCCCGCGCCGTGGACAAGAAGTGCGAGAAGATGGAGGGTTCGTCGAGCCGCAGCCCGTGTGCGCTCCGAAACATTCCCGTATCGCCGCTTGACGTGCTCATGTTGGCCGGGCTTCGTGTTGACCGCGTTCAGCGATGCCTCCTTTTCCCCTTTCACAAAAAGGGCCCGCCAGAATGGCTGGATGTGTTTTGCCATGCCAGCGTCATTTTATTTTCGTTGTGTTTCCCCCGCGTCTCTTGACATCGTCTATTGAACGCCGGCTTTGAAGTGAAGCGGCCGCCCTCGTCTCTGGCAGGGTTGCGAGGTTCGGCGAGGTTGCGACCCGGGACCCGGCCGCTGTCCCATGAATTGCCGTGTGTACGTCTGTCTGCGGTCCTCTTGCCGTGCGCGGGGGCGGGCCGGGGGCGGGCGGGGGGCGGGCGGGGGGCGGGCGGGGGTCCGCCGCCGCCGCCACCATCACCCCGCCACCCCGCCGGCGCCGCCACCCCCGGCCACCGAATGACTGCCTCTGGCGTCAGGCAGGGGTGCGAGCGGAACAACGACCGTCAAGGGGATGCGTGAAATTCAGATGTTTCCAGTCTGACAACTACTATGTGTTTGGCAGGCGAAAGGCCGACGGCGCGGCGCGGCGTGGCCGGATTGGCCGGGGAATGCGCTTGGCGCTTGTTTGGCGCGCGGCTGCCTCGGCCCTAGGGGGCTGGCCGCCTGCCTCGGCTGTCTTCATTTGCACCCCTTGGGCGGCGGAGTGAATGAGTGAACGGCACCGCGATCTTGAACGCGGCAGCGCGGCACGCCCCGCAGGCTGCAGTCTCTCTCTCTCTCGCACCGCAAGGCAGCGCCTGCAGCGCCCCACCCCCGTGTGTGCGAGAGTGAGACAGACAGAGGGTGGTAGTGCGGAATCGCGCGCAGCCAGCGCAGCCACACTGTTGACACCGCGGTGTCGTTAGCGTCGCGACGCGCTCTTCGTCTCGAGAGCCGTAGCGGGGCGTGGGCGGCAGTGCCTGCTTGAGCTACGCAGCGCGACGCAGCGCTACGGGTAACATTGTCCCGCCTGACGTGGCGGCCCTGCCCTGCCCGGCCCTGCCGGCTCGGCTCTCAATGCTCTCGCGCGCGGCGCGCGGTCTCCCGGTGTGGCGGTGCGAGGGCGTAGCTGTGATTTACTCCGCTACTTGTTGACAGAGAGTGAGAGAGACGAAAGGCTGGAGGCGCACTGCGCCACTGACGGACGCCAGTCCAATTAAACATCGCCGCCGATATCATAATCGCCTCGCCTGCTTCCTTTTGGCGACGTGTTTATTTGTGTCGTCGTCCCGGCCATCGTGTCGCAGTCGTGTTTTGGCGCCGAGTTGTCGCGAGCGCGTTGTCTCGGCCTGTTAAAAGTTATTCGCGACGGTATCGGCCGGCTGGCTGGCTGGCTGGCGGCCCGCCTGGCGGGGCAGACCCCCCGCCGCCCCGTGACTCACGGCTGGCTTCCCGGAGTAGCCGCGCCGCCGCGCCGCCGTGCCCAGCGACGTGACCTCTGGCCGCGCTGACGCTTGACGGCGTGCTGCATGCGTCCTGCAGACTGATTCCGAGAGCCGTTCTGCCTCTCTCTGACTCCCGTGTAGGTGCAACGGAGACGGAGCGACGAAAACGACTCTCGGAGTCAGTCCCCGTGTGCCGTGTGCCTCGCCCCGACCGGCCGACCGGCGCCACGCCCTGCAGTGGGCAGCGCCACGCCGCGCCGTCGCCAAGGCAACGAGGAAGACGTCGGGCTCCAAAGGATCGCTCCGTCACTCCGTCTCCGTCGCACTCGCGGGCCGTCCCGTGGGGTCCCGTGGGGGTGCGAGAGAGACGGACGGTCCTTTGGAGCGCGGTGGCGCTGTCTCGGTGCGTGCCCGGCGGCACGAGGACGGCGACGAAGACGCCGTGAGGGCAGGCCGGCCCGCCAAGCACGCGCGTTGTGGGGCGCGGCCTATGGCACAGGCGCCCTGGACGCAGGAACATCTTTTCACCAGCAACACACCTGGCTTCCACCGGGATCCGAACAACAATCAACCGACTGCACAGGCGACGCCTTAACGCTCTCGGCCGGCAGACGCCCCGGGCCGCCCCGGGCGCGGTGCAGATTGGTGGTCGTCTGGCGTCGTCGGCGAGCCATTGACGGACAGGCTGCTCCTCGCCGCCCCGGCCGCCCAACTTTGCCGGAGTTGGCGCTTCATGGCTTGATGGCCGTGTCCGCCGTGTCAGACGCAGAGCGCCGAGCAGAGCGGCGAAGCGGCGCGGCGGCAAGCGAGCCAGAGTCGCCGTCTGCCGAGAAATTGGCGCCAGACGACCAAGTCCCGACATTGTACGCGCAGAGCGGCGGGGCGGCGCGGAGTCCCGAGGCGGCGCGCCACTTTATCGTACTTGTTGACGCACTGCATGTGCCGCTGCAGCGCGGCCGGCCGGGGACGCACGCGCGACGCGCACGGCTGCAGCGGGGGATTGTTTTGTTGGGAACTGATTTGGTGCGTTTCGCAGTGCGATGTGTGCGCTGGCGGCGGGCCGGGGCGTAAAGTGAAGTTGCTGTGCACGCTCCACGCACACACTCCCTCACACACACACATGCACGTTGACTGGTGCACTCAACTGCACTGCTATTATCGGCGCCGAAAACGGAGATGGGCTTCGCATGCCCTTGGCTCGCACAAAAGGGCTGTTCGGTGGACGGTGGGTGCAGGCAGGGCGCGGGCAGGGCGCGGGCAGGGCCCAGGGCGCGGAGGGTCCTCGCTGCTACGCGTTCCTCGATAACAATGTAGTAGACCGCTCTCTTTCTCTCATTTGGCATTCATGCGTGGCTGATGCCGGCTGATGCCCGCGGAGGGGGAGAGAGAGGGGGGGGGAGGGGGGCGTTGAACCGATGATATCACCGCGCGTGTCACTCGGCCAGCAGGGCAGAGTGCTCTCTCGCTCGCGCTCACGGATCTCCCCGTCGGGGCTGCCAGGGGTCTGCCTGAGGGAGAGAGAGAGAGAGAGGGCAGCCGCGACCGCGAGCGCCCCACGCGGAGTGAAGGGGAACGCGGCGCGATTTCATCTGCGGATGAATGGGGCCGCGATGCTCTGTGATGCTCCGCGGGGCGTCTTGCACGGCGTGGCTGGCTGGCTGGCTGCCTGCCTGCCTGCCTGCCTGCCTGCCTGCCTGCCTGCCTGCCTGCCTGCCTGCCTGCCTGCCTGCCTGCCTGCCTGCCTGCCTGCCTGCTTGCCTGCCTGCCTGCCTGCCTGCCTGCCTGCCTGCCTGCCTGCCTGCCTGCCTGGCGGACGCATCTCAACGGGAATCAGAACGAATTGCCCACTCGATCGGGTCGCGGAGGTCGCGGCCCGGGCCTGCTGTCAACAAAGTGGTGCATCGGCAGTAAATGGTGCGGACTCGGCCACCTATCTGCTGAGCTTATCTGGCGCAACACTCCAAACTAAAAACCAAACCAAAAATAAATTGAAAAAGACTGTAAGGTTAAGGTATCATCTGCTGAAAGAAAATTAACCGGCATCAATTTTTCGTCGGAATTGTGAATTCTCGTTGTGATTTGTGGCCGCTTTGATGAATGGCACGGCGCTGCCGCGGCTTACCTGTTGAGTGGCTCAGCCCCGTCCGCCCGTCCGTCCGTCCCCGCTAATACAGCGAGCGGCATAACTTTGGCGGCGCCCCGCGGCGCGCCACCACTGTAAATCAATCGCCACTCCGCCCGATCAGCGTGGTCAGCACTCCGAAAGCACCTCGTCGCTCTGTCTCTCTCGCACCCCGACGGGCCGCCCCGCGAGTGCGAGAGAGACAGCGACGCGGCTAATGACGCGGCGTCATCGCCCCGCGCGCCGGACTGCTGCACTGTAGGCGCGTTTTAATGCCGACGGTGTGGTGGTGGTGTGCAGGATCGACAATCCGCGCTCGGGGACGGCCCCCAGAGTCAGACGGGAAGTGCGCTTGGGAGCAGCGGTCTCGCCGAGTTGTCAAAATTGCGATAAATCTATGAAATTGGGCATTTTGCAGACTTAGAGCGCCCACTGCCGCCAATCTAGCTGGGGTTGCGGGGTACTCTGAAGGAGCTACTCTATTTCTGCCAAGGCTAACTGACTGTTTAGACGTTTTGTATCGATGTTCCACCATTCGCCAAGCATTCATCCTGCCTCTTCCCCGCCAGGTTGGGCGCGGCGCTGCTGCTCGCCGCGGTGGCGGTCCACTCGAGACACAGCGGTGGCGGAGTCCGAGGTAAGCGAATATGGCTCGCTCGTCTGCAGGCACACTGAGAGTCGTCGTCGTCGCTCTGTCTCCCTCGCACTCATGGGTCGCGCCGTGTCGGTGCGAGAGAGACAGAGAATCCGTGTGCAGCGCGGCGTGTGTGGTCCGCCGAGTAAGGCGAGGGAAGGGCGTTGCGAATCCTAGCCGCGGCGCGCCTCCTCGTCGGCACGTGTCTTGCGCGTCCGCCTGCAGTGCAGCAGTGTCGGTGCACCGTGAGTTGCAGCGGCGACTCCCTCCGCGGAATATGAATCGCATCGCGGAAACAAAAGGCCATTCGCTTTCGGCGCCATTCTGTTGCATTCTGTTGCATTCTGTTCCATCCCTCTCCTTCCTGTGCTAATGGCTTGCGCTTGTCATCCTTTGGCGTCGCGTGCCGGGAATGCATTGTCTTTTTGTTCGAACGAATTGATGGCGTCCATTTTTATTTGTTTTCATCCGCGCGTCTCTTCACCACCACCATGCACAGCGTCCGGCACTGTGGCAGGGTGGCGAAACCGGTAAACTAATGTTGATTAGCCTGGTGAATCGGGACGCGGACCTCGCGGCGGTGTCGTGTTTACTTAATGAACTCCGGGGCAGCGCGGTGATAGATTAAATAATAGTTTGGCGAATGGCCGTTGTAGCGAGGTGCCATCTAGCTGATTGTCGCGGCCCGGGATGCCCCTGGTGGCCCGCCGGTAGGCCCTAGGCCGCCCTGGGCCGCCCCGGGCCCGGCCGAACTAATACTCCCTCGGTCAGGACGCATTTGCTGATTGGCGGGGGGAGGGGGAGCCAGGTGTAGCCTTCCGGTGGAGCGGGCCGACTTTAGCCCGGGGAGGGGGTGACTTTAGATTCAACAGAGGAATCTGTGGCGGGTGACTCGCGCGGCTTGCCTCCGCGGGGACGGCCCTGGCCCCGGGCTAGCAGAGCAGGGAAGGACACGGCGCCGCCGGCTGTAGAGGAGAAGGACCTACAGCGCAGGAGCTTTTTACCCTCGCCTAAAACGGCGGTGGTTGGCTGTTGGATTGCCCAATAACGCCAAAGTCGCCAATTCGTCGCCCTTCTATTATGGAGCGCAAAGAAGGACGCCCCTGGAAAGGGGGAGGGGGAGTGGAACCGTCCCTCTGAAAACAGGAAATTTGCATCCGTCTGTGGCCTTTCGATTGCCCGTCATTCTGGCCATTACGATTGCAGATGCCCCGGCGAGGTAATGCGAGGTTAAGTGGGGGAAGTCCGTCGTCCGAGAGAGACAGAGGGCGACCTTTATTGGCGCCGCCGCCGGGAAAAGAATGTCCCATTTCGAAAAATGATTTCGGCGTCGCCAAAGCCAGGGTGCGAATTCCACGGAGTGTCGCGCAGCATAATGCTGCCGTCGTGCTGTCTGCAGGGGGAGGGGGCGAGGGCGAGGGCGAAGGGCTTGGCGGCGAAGCGTGGCCGGAACGGGCTAGGCGCCCAGCCTGCGCTGCCGCCGCCTCGCCGCCGGTCCCGGCCTGGCCGCGGCAGCCGCGGCCCGCGCGGGGCGTGGGGCACAGTGTACAGTATCCCGGGGCCGCGGCGCCGCGGTGGCTCCATGGTGCCCCGGCCTGCCTCGGGTGCTAATCCTTGCCACGCCTCGGCGGCCTCGGCTCGCCGGCCGGGCATTTACATCCCTGATTAATAATCCAATTAATTACCAGCGCGAAAAGGTTAGGCAGGGTTAGGGCGGCCGGGGCGGCACGGCGCGCACATTCTTTGTTTGGACTGTACCGGCCCGTGCACGGCCGCATGCCTAGGCCTATGGCCGGGCCGGGCCGGGCCGGGCTAGGGGCTCAATCTTGTTAGGGTGCCCCCGCGCTCACGCCGCCACGCCGCCACCACACGGAAAACAACTTGACAAATTGCGGGGTGCGCGCCGTCGCCGCCGCGGAGGGAGCACCGGCGCGAAGGACTCCTCGACGGGGAGGTCCTGCCGCCCCGCGGGTCGTAATGGCTCGCCGAGACCCTGGCCGCCACACTGGCCGGCCGGCCTGGCGCGAGGACTCGCGGTCATTGGAGTCCACGCTGAGTTATGAAACGGGACACGCAAAGCGACGCGGAGCGACGCCAAGCGCACGGGCGCGGCGGAGCGAGATGACGTCACGACGCGCAGGGACCCGGAGGGAACGCGGCGAACGCGGCACCACGATGACGGGTACGAATGGAGGGGCGGGGCGTCGTCGCGGTGGTGCAGCGGCCAAACAAACACCGCGTGTGTCTCTGCCTCCCCCCCCCCCTCCCGGCCGCGGCGGTAATACGGAGGAGGAAATTACATCCTAGGCCATAACGCGGCGCTACGCGGAGCCATGTGCGTAGCGTGGCGTGGCCTAGCCAACGGCACAGCCAACGGCAAAGCCAAAGGCCGACAGTCGTTTCGTCGCTCTGTCTCTGTCACACTCGCGGCGCGACCCGAAGGTCCCGAAGGTTCCGAAGCGGAGCGACTGAGACGGAGCGCCGAAACGCCGCTCTTCGGAATCGCTCGGCAGGAAGGGAAGGGCCGCGCGCTTTACGGTGTGGCAACGCGTCCAAATAGAAACGCGTAGCCGTCTCGAGACGACGCAGACGACGCACTCGGAATTCGGTTTTTGCATTCCCCGGGGAGGGGCGTCCTTCAACCACGGCAGGCGTGGAATTACCTCCGCGTGAATAACGGACGACCCCCGCCCGGGCGAAGGCCTGGCCGAGGCTGCAGGGCAGTGCAGGGCCGGCGGGAGGGTACCGAACCGATCCCACTCGACGGAAGAAAGGGTTGCTTGCCGAGCTTGGCGTCGAGAGCGAAAGTAGCGGTGGAGCGGCGGCGTCCCGGGCCGTTGTTCGAGTGTGTCGCACCGCGTGGGGCATGGCATGGCATGGCACGGCACGGTGAGGTCAGGGGCCGCAGTTAGTTCCCCCCCCTCTTTCCCCTTTTCCAGCCCGTCGGAAATTGAGCCGCGTCTGAGTGCGGCCAAGTTGGTTGTCTTATTTACCTCCGATTGAACCCCCGCCGGGCAGGCAGGGCAGGCAGCCCTGGCAGCCCCGCAGTGCCGGACAGTCCTAGACGGCGAGCGGCCCGCCCGGCCGATAGGAGGTGGGGCCCTTTGGTTTGATTAGAAAAGAAAAGTTTTGTTCGGCTGCGGTCGGCCGCGGCCCGGGCCCGTCCAGTCGGCCTCCCCATCCCCGTGTGTACGGGCTCACGGCCGTACGGGGGGCGGCCTCTGTACTTCGAGAAGCTTGCAAAGCTTGCAAAGCTTTCAAAGCCCTCCCGGCTCGCAGCCGGATGCTGGCTTGGCGTTCCCGGAGTCATGAACCCGTTCAAGTTTTTCAATAAATTGGGGCAACTTGCTTTGCGACAAGTGCGGCCCGTCCCTGCTGCGCCGTGGCTGCGTCGGCTTCCGTGTCGTCTGGCCGCGATCGGGTCTCTAATTGTCTCTGTTCGTTGTTGGGGGTGTTCGGGGCGTCGGACAAGAGGAACAAGGACCGCACCACTGTAAAGCATCGAAGCACCGCCAAGCCACAACCGCCACCTCCGCAAGCAGCAGCAGCGAGCAGCGAGGGGTCGCTGTTTGCCCAGTGGCGTGGCGGGGCACCGCGTGGGGCACATGCTTCACTGTGTCGCCAGCCCCGCCAGCCCCGCCAGCCCCGCACGGCCTACAAGCCCCTCACCAGGCGCGCCAATGTTTAAACATTTGCTTGCGCGCTTCCCCCGGCAACCCACCCACGCCAGCACGCCACCCTCAGGGCCTGCTTCGCCTGCTGGCCGGCGGAGGGCTGCCGGCGTCTCCTCGTGGCTCTTGGCGTCGCTGGGCGTCGCTCGGCGTCGCTCGGCGTGCAGTCCCAGTCCGCAGCGACGCGACGCGCTCGCCCGGAGAGAGGGGCAGAGAGTGAGGGAGAGAGAGGAAGAGAAATGCTCAGCCGGGCAACAGGCCGGCGAAGACGCCGTTTTAGATTCGCCTGGCATATCTTCGGCCCAAGAGCATTTTTGTGCCAAGAGCAAGTCTTCGTCTCAAACCGGGCCGGTCTAGGCGAAACCCTAGCCAGAAAAAAAATGGACCGTCGCAATAAAACGGGGCAGAAAGAGATTGCGGCGTCCTGACGGGGGCGCTAGGCCGCAGACCAAGACAGAGCAAGTTATTTCAAGCAGCGCGGCAATGTTTGCTTTGTCGAGTCAAACACCAAAACGGCGAGCGGCGCGCTTCGCGTGGCGTTTCGACTTCCGCGAACGCGAACGCCCCCGAGTCTGGGAAGCCAAATGCGCGGCCGCGGACGGAGAAGCCGATGAGTCGCGCGACCCCTCTGTCTCTCTCGCACTCACGGGGCGTCCCGCGGAGGTGCGAGAGAGACAGAGCGACGAATCGGGTGGCTGCCCCCCGGGACTCGCGGTGCGTGTGGACCCAAGGAGCAAAGCAGGCAAAGCAGTGTGCTCAGTATGCGCAGGTGCGCGTCGCGTCCGTAGAGCGTCCCGCGGCCGTCTGCCTCGATTCCACTTACAGTGCCGTAGCGCGAGAGAAACTGCGGCGGCCCGTATTGAAATGGGCGCGGTGCGTGCGCTGTGCGCGACTCTATGGGGAGCCCCGGTGAACGCGCACGACCAGTGGAGGTGACTCGACCGGTCGCTCGAAGGACACCGCGACCAGAAAATCTCGAGCAGCTCGAAAATGTCATGACGCACCGTCTCTCCAGTGTGTCAGACTCTACGCAGATCTGAGCCACTCTACGCCCTCCCTCATGCCCACCCAAGGGCGCGTCGTTCGGTGGGTGATCGCGGGATTTGGCCTAACTGCTTTCCGACTACCCGATCGCGCTCCGCACGGCTCCTCTGCTCGTGCAGGCGCAGGCGCACTCTCTTTGATGGGGCCGCGGCGGCCCCGCGACGTGGCTTGCAAGAGAATCGGACCGGGATGTTTTTCGGTGGTTTTGCGGAAGTGGATTCCAACTATCATGCCGAGAACAGGCTTGGTACACACTACGGACGAACAAAATGATGTATAATTTTTGCGAGGCGTTATAATGAAGCGCGGTGACTCTAGATAAGTACAGTGACTCTAGATGGTGCTGCATCCGTACCAGACGAACAAATCGCATAATGTCGTCTCTCTCTGTCTCTGTCTGTTGCAGGCGGTAAGTAGGGGCCCATCTGGTTGTGTCGGTATGCAGCGACCAGGTGCGTCCGTGTGTGCGTCCGCGTGAGTGTGTGTGTGTGTGTGTGTGTGTGCGTGTCCTGTTGTGCCAGACTAGTCTACGCGGCGCGGCGAGAGCTTCCCAAACAAGCCATGACGGGCGGATCTCGGCGCCCTGCAGTGCCGTGCCGTGCCGACGCGGGCAAGCGCCGCTACGTCCTCCGGCATGACGGGGTGCTCCGCGTGCACCTGCTCGACGGCGTGCTCGAGGTTTTCAAAACGCCCGGGAAGGACTTCCTCTACGCCTCCGCCGACGCGGCCGACGGCATGCTGAAACTGCGTGCCGCGCGTCCCAGGGTTGTCCCAGGGCTGTCCCAGGGGAGGCGAAGGAAGACGTCAGCTTGAGGGCATGTGGTGATTCCGGGGGGCTTTCCCTTATCGGCCCGCCGCCTCTCTGTCTTTCTCTCGCCCGCTCTCGCCCCAGGCGTGCCACAGTGGGCCAGAAGACCGGCGGAGACGGCCAAAACTCTAGACCCATTTCGAGCTCCAGAGTCGCTAAATGGGACTCGAACCGAACATGTGACCCCACCAATGGATTCCTCGTCCGGAGAGCAATCCATTGGTGGGGTCACACGCTCGATCCGAGTCCAATTTGGCGACTCTGGAGCTCAAAAGGCGTCTAGACTTTTGGCCGCCTCCACCGGTCTTCTGGCCCACTGTTCGTGCCTAGACGTGCCGCCACATGACAGCCGCGGCTCGCGACCAGGACGGCGAGGCAGCCCCGTCGCGGCCGCGCACCGCCCCCTCTTTTAATATGACTTCGGCCCGATTAGGACAGGACGTGCACCGCACCGCTTGCTGGAAGTTGGGGGCGGCGTCACGCACCGCGGGCAGCGGGGGCAGTTCGGAGATGGCAGGCCGAGATGCTCCTCCCCGTGCGTAGGGATTACGGCCCACGGATCCCGAACGGGGAACGGGAAACGGGACTGGACTTCGCTTTGGGCGTACTTCGTGTATTTCCGGCCGGGACTCTTTCTCTCTAGCCGCACTGCGGGGCCGACCCCAGGAGAAAATTCGCGGTAAAAACGAGTTTTTCGAGTTCTTTACAGTGTACTTCGCGTACGCCATAGCACCCTTCACGCGCGGCCCCCGTTGTCACTGCTTATGCTGCCGTGGGCTTTTGTTCGGCGCGGCAGCCACTTAGCGAGCGATACGCGGAACGAGCAAACTAAGTGCAGGCGGGGCGGCGCGGCGCAGTGATTGTAATAATCGTTCCGACCGGTGGGCTGTTGCTCCGCCGCCGTGGCGCGCCGTGCCGCGAGCTCCCCGCCGAGCCGAGCCCCTCGATAAAGACTTTGGCCGTCTCGGCCTCCTCCTCGCGCAATTATTATCCCGCGTCGCGATGCTCGGCAGCGCTCCGGGGAAGGGGGAGGGGGTCGCGCCGTCTCTCTCGCACTCTCGCGGCGTCGCGTGCAGGCGCGACAGAGAGCGAGGAATCGGTCTTCCTCCGCTGCGGCGATTCGCCGTCATTCGGTGCAGGACTCGGCCGTTACCGTACAAATGGCGCATCACGGCGCCTGATGGGGTTACAGTGTGCACGCCGTCCAGGGCGCGGCGCGGGACTTGACTCGCGGTCCCCGCTTCCGGCCGCCCGTTCTGGCGGAGAATGGCTTCGCGTTTGCCGCGCCCTTCGCTGCAGGTCCCTTGGTCAAAGCCCAGCACCCAGCCCAGCGCCAAGCCCAGCCAACCGCGTCACCTTCCGTCAGTGACCCGTCCGGAAGGGTCAGTGACGGGACGGCCCGGCACGGCCCACACCGAGGGCCGCGGAGGGCGGCCTGGGCGAAGCGGTGCTGAAGCCCACTGACTGCTTGACTTGGCTAAGTCCGGCCGCCTGCACTGCCTGCACTGCCTGCAGTGGCCCCCGCCGCCCCCGCCGCCCCCGCGGCCCCCGCGGCCCTTGAGCCGCGATGGACGCCCTGCCGGCCCTGCCGGCCCTGCAGCCTGCTGAATATGGAGCGAGCGGTTTTAAGCGCCGAGTGGGCAGCAGGCAGCAGTCGCCCGTCGATGGAGGCGTCGCTGGATTGGCAGAAAAAAGGGGGCGGGGGCCAGGTAGACGCCGAGAGGGGCCTAAGTGCACGAGATTGTTTCCGCAGCGCGGCGGAGCGGCGGGGTCGCGAAAAAATCTGGTTCCTTGCGGCCTGCCGGAGCCGCTACGCCGCCACAGTGTCGCGGCCGGGCTGCCCCGCGGCCCAGGTTTAGGGCGAGGGTGGCGGCCGTGGCGGCCCCAGGCCGTCGTATAGTGTGGGGGAAAGGTTTTGAAAACGGCCCGGAATATGGATGGGCCATGGGGCGGCTCAATGAGTACGGCATTAAAGTTGGACGAGGCGGGAGTGGCCGAGCCGGGCCGAGCCGGGCCCAGCCCAGCCCACCCGGGAGGCTGGATTCCGGAAGAAGAAGAATGGACCGCGGGGAGGGAGAGTTTTTAGCAGCGTAGCGGCGTGGCCTGTTGGGGCGCAACGCAACGCAACGCGGTGTGGTGAAGCGGGCCGCCGAGGCCTGCAGCCCGAGAGTGGGGAGGGAGTGTCAAGGCTGTCTAAAGGACGTGTGAAAATTCAGCAAGGATTACGATAACGCTCCAACCAAAGTTAATGCTGAGGCTGCCGGGTGTTGGACTCGGTAGTGGGACTCGGCTGATCGGACCCTTAAGCAACTCTGTCACGAGTGAGACAGCTATCGCGTTTGCGCGGCGTTTGCCCTATGGCGTGGGAGCACATCCCCTTGACACCGGCAGGCCGGGCGCAGTCCTCCCCCTTCTGGTTTTGTGTTACTTTCCTGTAATCAGCTTTTACTTTGCGCGTCCGCCGCGCCCGCCGCGCCCTCCCCCTGTTCTCCCAATGAGTCGCCGGGGACCGATGGGCGCCATGCATCACGCGCACCTAATTAGGCGATATTTACATCCCCCCTCCACTGCCCCACCTGCTCCCGAGGCGGCCCGCAACTTTTTTTTTCCCCTCCACGAAGCTTTTCCTTCCTGCTTCTCTTCTTCCTCGGCGCTACCCCTCGCGCCCCGTCGATACTCCCCGCGGCGCGTGCCGCGTGTTCTCCGAGTTACAGTGTCGTGCCCGTCCTGGCCGCGTGCTTCACCTTTGACGGCCTCCGCCACGCCACTGGCCCCACCCTGACTTCTTTTCCGCTTTCCTGCTTCGCCCTGGCGATCCCTCCCGAAAGCTTTGCGAGCGCGCCCCGCCGGCCCGGTCATTAATTAAAGTTAACAACAACAACAAGAGTAGCATCACGCTTCAGCCCCCACCTGATGGCGCGAGTAAGGCGTCTGAGAATGGCGCGGCCTGTCGGGCCGATGGATCCGAGAGGCAGGAGATTGGCCGGGGCGAGAGGGGAGGGGAGGGGGAAGTGAAATGAAAAATCACGAGAACGGAGTGAAAGGTTGATTAGGGGAAGGCGTCCGAGTCAGCGCGCCGGGCCGGGCGCGCCCCTGGCTGCTCTGGCCCTGGCCCCGGGGATGCTGAGGGTGGCGGGGCGGGGCGGGGCGGGGCGGGGTGAGGGTTGCATGCAGGGACGCTTCGCCACGCCACGCCACGGGCATCGCCAGGAAGTCTTTACTCAAACATAATCCAAGTCGTTATAAATTATTCATGGCAAGCAAGGGGCAGCCGATCCACCCCGGTGCGAGGCGCGGGGCGGGGCGTCGTGGTGGGGGTGTCTGTTGACGGTGCAACCACCCCCGGGCAGCGCGAGTACCTTGATTCTCTCCCCTCCCCTCCCCTCTCCCCGGCCACGTGTTGGAATGGGTTGTAACACTGTCGCCGAGTGCTGCTCGCTGCACGCCTCTTACGGCCTGCACGAGACGCGGCACGTTGCTGCAGTGCAGTGGGCCTGCAGTGGGCCTGCGCGCCGCATCCTGGGCCTGGGACGGACCGTCAGGCCGTCAGCCAGTGGAGCCTGACGGGCGACTCCGCCGCCCGCACTTCTCGCTCTGTCTCTCTCGCACTCGTGGGGTGCGTCGCGTGGGTGCGAGAGAGACAGATTGCCGACGCCCCCACGCCCTGCTCGCCGTCACACTCGGCGGGCACACCGTGAGTGACGGCGTCATCCTCGCGCGCCGGGCCAGTTATCCTTTCGGAAATATTGTGGGGGAGGGGGGGGAGAGGGCTGGGAATGTCCCCCCTCCACAGGTCGCGGGCATGTTCGCCTCATAAACTGGTGTCGTGTGATCGGCCAGGCGCGGCCGCCCTGTCTCTCTCGCACTCACGGGGCGCGAGAGAGGCACAGCGACGGACCACCAGGGCGGCGCGGCCACGGCGCGGCCATGCGTGAGAAGCGAAGCGAAGGGCGAGCAGATGCCGAATGTCTGGGCTTGGCCTGGGCCTCCTTGATGTCGCCACTTGGCGGCGTGACGGCGCGCGGCCCCAAACGCTTTACGAGGGACTCGGTGGCCGTGGCCGTGGCCGTGGCCATGCGCGGGGCGGCGCGGGGCGGGGCGGGCTGCATTCCGGGCGCCAAGAAGAGCGACGCCGTCGCTACCCCGCGCGGCGGTGTTGTCCGCGAGATGGCTGATTTTCTCGCGCGCGCGGAGTATCGCCGCAGCGGTACCGGCCCCTCTGCGCTAAGTGCTGTAGGTGTTGTGCTTGCCGTGCCGGGCCTGGGGCGGTCTGGAAGTTGGCCTGGGCCTTCGCGTAGCCCAGCAGCGTGCCGAGTCCGCGCGGCGCTACCGAAACACCGAAAGCAGTGGTCAGGCGGAGGCGGAGGCGAGGAGGGTAGGCGGGTCGTGTGGAGAGCGGGGTTGGCCTTCGCGCTCCCCGCCGAGCCGCGCCGAGCCGAGCCGCGCTACGGGTAAGATAGGAGGAGTTGGAATGGTAGTTGCCACCGCCTTGCCTCCCAGCCTTAATTACAAAAGTGCGGAGCGCGGCGAGCATTCGAACCGGAAGCAGCCTTGATAAGCCGGGGCAAGCCAGCCGGGCAAGGTACTGGCGAGGGCGCCAT